TGGCATCGTTGGAACCGACGTGTATGTTGACGATATTTAATCAGGTGGGTCGTCTTTAGAAAACGCTCAATTGCTTAAAGCAGAATAATTTGAATTCATATCGACCGATAGCTACAAGCTCCGGCAAATATAATACAAATAGCTATCAAATAGCACGGATTTGTTGACTCATATTCTAAAAAGCTATCAACAGGTTTCATTATTAAAAAATCCTGATAATCCGGGTCTGGTTGTGATTTAGGATACCTATATCATCTAATGGAAGATTTATTTACCTTCAAGGTCACCATCTCAACGAACATGATCAAGATACTGTCACTAATCGCTAAAATGTACAATCCGAACGGTTTTATTGGGTATTTATTTACATCTTTGTATCAAAGCTAGCGTTGTGATTGGAAACAATATGTGCAAGAACTACATCTAAGCAGTGCTCATCTTCTAGTAAAACTAATAAATTTTATGGAACAATTTTTAAAGAGTTTTGTTTTTTTTTTTTTTATTATAACTGAGGTTATTTGTTGGATGGACAGTATAACTCTTTCAGTGTTTCAATCTCCTTCTTGTAGTGACAAGCCTTTGAAGAGTATAAAATTTTCACCAACCTCCAAAATGCGCTGTAAAGTTTTATCTTTTTTTTTTTAATAATAATTTGATCCATATATGCAGACGTTTCTGTAATGCGAATATTTCATATGATACAAAACATTTTATCTTGTGGCTGGCATCTTCGTAATTTTAAATAATTGGTGCTATTATTTAGACATCTTACTTATTATTCTCCTATTGGATCATTTCGACGTGAAAAGTAGTTCGCAGTGGAATTTTTAAATATATTTCATTATAGTAACTACGTCCTGAAGTTTCACAACCCCTTATGCGAGACTTCCTAAAAGATCGTCTTTCGACTGTCCGTCCTTTCACTGGGGTCGGAACTGATTTTGTAGACCGCACAGGCTGAACAGGTTGAATACTTACGCGGGCAGTACTCATAATACGTCTTGTTCGTTTACCCATTTCGTAAGCTAAGAGCAGTTCAGGGCGAGAAGATATTTGCGCTAATTTGATCCCTGAAAAGTGACTGACAGACTCCTGGCAGAAACCAGCCAGCATTCTGGTTTAGCAACGCCAAGATATGCACGCGCCTTTTGGGACGTTGAATTATATTAGTATACATTTAGCCTAAGGACAATCTAAGGATTTTCATATTTTCAATAACTTCTAAAGACACTAAAGTGCAGTGCGAGAGGGTCCCCTTGTGATATGAAGAGCAGAAGATGTACAACAGCGTGCCGGCGTGCTTGATCAACACAACTCTCCAGGTAGGTGACATACTATTTAAATGCATTACCATAATCCTCTTGTTCAAAACAAAGGTTTACTGTAAGAGATGCCTTTATGAGATAAGTCTGCCATTGTATATTAAATCTTTAAATGTGTGTGAAAATTATGTACAATAAATATTTTACAACAACAACTATAAATATATTGTAATCAGTGCTGTATAGGAGCATGTTGTTATTTCTATATATAATTTAAATACAACCTAATATATTCCAACATATCTCTTTAAAAAAGTAGATAAAAGAAATATGTTTGAATCCAAGCATTTGTCTGTCAATGTCAAACATTCCAATATCTGCGTGCTTACATTAACTTTTTATTGTGGTAAACAAATAATAATAATGGAATGATAAATACACTATACAAAGACATGATGAGGTTATCTTTTTTTTTAATCTAATTTCATAATTATCTAAGAAATAAATGTACTTCACAGCCATAAATGCTGGTAGGGTATTCACATTACACTGAGCATTATAAACAAAGGTAGCAGACAGCGAACCAAGTCTATTTTGTTATAGGTGTTCTCTATGACCGAAGAGTTAGTGAGAAATTTAAATTGATACATAGCGTTGTCAGCCAGCATCAACCACACTACTTTAAAAGTCAATACGTCAGGGTAGTCCACTATCAAAATTTATGTAAAAATATTTTCACGTCTTTCATTCTGGATGGAATAGTCAGAAAGTAGTTGTTACCGTGCTACATTAAATTTGCTACTTCGTCTGCGTGATCGTGGTAAATTTACTAACCGAGATAAAAAGTATATACTTAGATATATATTTCTCCATCCCATGTAGTATATATATAACAAATTTTACAATAATTAGTTAAGCCATGAAGGCTTGATAAGGAATAATATTAGTAATAATTATCATGGCATAGAATAAATGTCGTCATCTCCTAGTTAGTTATTAGTGTTTAACGTCGTTGAGAGAAAATAAATCTCTAATACAAAGTTCTAAAAATTATTTCTACTTATTCTACGGATATAAAGAAAATATATATAAAACAGAATATAGACTCTCTATTATGTCAGAATTCATTACAATCACAGAAGCTCTTAAATATATTGTTGATAACCTACGGAACACAAATGACTTTATACTTACAGATAGTAAGTGCATTACAACATCTGACTCGTTGTGCCTCTGGATATAGCAGAAGGGTCTTGATAACCTATGATGTTCTAGGGCAATTGTACACTATTCTATGTAAATTTGAAATTGTAATTAATTTCATCGTATACAGGACTATCGGGAAACGAGAAACCTAACCGTTTCGCGAAATTAGCTGTAAGCTGTAGGGTTCGGAAATAAATTTATTGCCGACATATTTGGAAAATTTGTCAAAATTTAAAAAAAAATTGTTATAAAATTTTGTGAAAATATTTTAACAAAATGAAGAAGGAATTTGATATAAAATAATCCAATATCAACCTTCACTAATTTCGTGATTTATTAATATAAATCAAAATAGAAATTACGTCGTCACTACTTATAGATTACGCTCAGAATATTACTCAAATGCAAAATTCGCATATCTTATGAAAAATCTTTATAACCCGAATTGTAATGTTTGTAATACTTAAAGCAACAATACAAAACGTAAAGTTTACAGAAATATAATTTAAACAAACAAGATATTGAATTGTTTTTAAGTATACTCGCAGATCCAGTCAGAATTTTTTTAACTGGAATATTTCTAAGTTTAAAATTTCTCAGTAAAATTACTAATTAAGTTATTAAGCTATAACAGAGCTGACATAGGATATAAAGGAGTACTTAATATTTATATATTAAGCACGACGAGCTATGAGATTTGTCGATAATCTCAGACTTACAAACTGTATTTAACCCTTAAGTCTTAAGTGAGTTTTCGCCTCACTCTGCGTGTTTTACCGCTTGTACAACGGATTGTTCTCAGAGGAACTGTTCGATATGATGCCCACGGCCACTTTTTACCATCATACAGCTCGTCATCGCCAGGGAGTTCACCCTCATACCCTAGAGTCTAGATAGTCGCGAACAACGCAGTTTCAGAGATGTTTTCTTCCACGAACACTCAGGTTGTGTAATGAGCTCCCTGTCGAGGTTTTTCCAAGAGACTGCATTGATAGATGCGGTTCTTCAAAAGGGAGGTAAAGGGCGGCAACACGCACGTAATATCCCTGGTATGGCAGACGTTCATAGGCTACGGTAACCGCTTACCATCAGGTGGGTCGTATGCTTGTTTGCTACCTTAGTGGTATAAAAAAAAGCATTCGCACCTTAATACAAAGTCGCAACTAGTTATTTTAATTGAGGAATAAAATAGGTAAGTGTGTTCATGACGTGTTTATACGGGCCAACGTTTATTTATTTTTATTTACTTATTTTGCCATAAGATTAAAAATCTTATGGCAAAATAAGTAAATAAAATAAAATTAAAAAAATCTACATATTATTTGCATTAATTTTCTGCAAAAAAACTACGCAGGAAAGTACATTGAACACATTGCATAATCCACAATAACTAAAATAAAACCACGAAGTTTTGCACACTCAACCGAATAAATATGGGTCATACATATAGATAAAATCTTTATGTATTATTTACTTTAGTCGTCGACTTACAGTTCAAATGAGCTCATAAATTTTCTGTGAGTAGGTATAGGTAGAAACCACTTTCTATCAACTCTTCTATAGCGTCATAATAAATAAATATTAGTGAATAGTTTATATATTTTATATTATGTAAATACCTACACTTTATATTGAAATTTACACATTTATTAATGGCATTTAATACCTACATCTCATTAATTTGAACAAAATAAAATAGTAATAATGTAATTTAAAATTTTGTATAAGTACGAGTATATTTGTTAAGCCAGGTTTTTTAGTAGATAGATATTTATATTCATTATTATGGAATTATATCTATGTTAGTGCATACGGTGCAATTAGAAAATAGGTATGACAATATAGGAATTAAACCTCTTAATAAACAAACTAATAAGAACAAAATTGACTATAGAATAATAATAATTATTATTATTTTTATTCAACTAAACTCAATAATAAGCATTTATGAACAGTCCTTTTTTATAAATTACTGCCCAGTTCGGAATGCAATTTCAGCTAAGAACAACGAGCAAGAAACACAGCTGTTGCTATTTTTAAATTAAAAGTTAAGTTTAGAACAAAATAATTATGAGTCGATAAAATGACTACCACAAACTTCGTGTTTATAATGAAAAAGGAAATAAAAAGCTACCAAGCTACAATCAATCACAGTATTCTTGAACAGACATAGTTTTATCTAATAAAAAGTACATAACATAGACCTCCCTATAAAGGGAGGTTTTACCGGTAGTTACCACGCTTGGCAGGCGAATAGGCAAACGTAGTTAGGCTTTGGTGATGTTTTAAGAGAGACGCTACTTCCCATTCCTCGACCATTGAATCCCCTTAGTCGCCTCCTTCTAGTGGGTGTTGTACACAAAAAGGGTTGACTTTTATGCATATGTTAGGACCACACGGCAAATATTAATCTATATTGATATATACATAAAGTCAATAATACAACTTCCTATACACTGGAATTCTAATAACTGAAACAATTTAAATATCTACTTTTATTTCACAGTAGTTGGACATAAAAAATATATTTACCTTCAGCCTTAAAGAAAATAACATTATCCGTTGATCGCCACTGATTGCAATTGATCCGTTCACTCAAATATCTCACACCATTTTGGAAACAGCTTCCCAATACAACGGCTCGTTACGGTTTTGCAACGTTCGTGATATGGTTTAGAGATAAACTGATATTGAATGTGTGGACTAAATCGATCTATCTGAAACTAACTTATCACATGTCAAGTGGTCTCCCAACGGGTTTGGATCGCTTATCGCCAATAGTGATGATACTGCATGTGAACAAACTACCATGAATAACATATTGAATTTAGGAAAGTGAATAATATTTGTATTGTGCATTACCGCGTTGAGTTTATTAGAGTTGAGTATATTAGATAGTAACCAATCACTACAATTGTGTAGGGGAGGGAGACTTTGTACAAAAGTCGATTGCTTGGGCACCTCTGTCCCATTCGTGTTTCTACCGTGAAGCAGTTGCGTTTGCACGGCTGTGTTTCGGTTTGAAGGGTGGAATATGGCGTGAATTTACTGGGTACACAGGAATAACACTTGAATCCTCAGGAATGGCAACGCATGGAGGGTATCATGGGCGAAACAGTATACTCTGTTATGTCCATAGGACTGCTCATGTCTATAGGCGACGGTTACCACTTTCCATCAGGTAGGCCGTCAGCTTGTTTGCCATTCTAAGTTGCATAAAAAAAAATATTTAAAGCATTTTACTCAACGATAACAAAAAGATATAAGACTCGAATGAACGATGATTATTGATTTTCAGTAGACGTATTTTTATGCTGTATGGAACGAAAAATGAATAGACGAGAACCTTATATTATTTATATATGTAATTATTTAAATAATAGCTTCTGCCCACCATTTTGTACGCGTTCATTTCAGGACTATTTCTGAAAACAATATTTTTTTTACTTCTTGATAGATCAAGATAAAACATACATCAGATTTTAAGTTAACACTTTAAAAATACAACTGTCTAAACCATTTCCAATTTGCTGCAGTAGTTTTTGCATAATACCGGAATAAATGTATACAGACAGAATTGCTAAAAATATTTATTGTCGTCTCTCTTGCTCTTACTAAAACCCCTCATATCACATAATGTAATTGTAATTAACATATTAGTACAATTCCCTGGATTATCACACAGTCGCAATATGCGTCTATTAAAACTATTTCAAATTTTAAATTGTAAGCATTTGTAATTGGTGAAATAAATAATTGTGACAGACGAACAGACAGTATCGCACCATAAGAGCTCCTTTGTAATATTTTGATATGGAATTCTAAAAACGGAACGAAAAGTGCGGCGACATCTTTAGACTACTCAACTGTCGCTCTAATTTAAGCATTATATTATTTTCCTTACCTCGAACTTCTTTAGTTTGGCTCTAATATTAAAACTTACCATTATTGGGTGATAGTCTTCTTGGAATCGATTGTGCAGTTTTGTTCCTGTCGTGAAGCAACAAACATATGCAAAGTTACAACCCTATAATTGTTCAATCCACCTCAACCGAAAAGACGCATCCATGCAGATTATTTCATCACCGCCAAGCAGCTGTGCTCGCTTGTTTTAAAGGGTGGATGGGATACGACATGGATTTTATACGGTAATGGCATGCCTCCGTACCCAATAATTTTATTCTTAGCCCTTGAAAACGACAACGCGTGTCTTCCCGATGTTTACCATTTTCTATCAAGTGGGCACTTAATGTTTTGCCAAGTTGTATAAACAACATGACAATACAGTGTATTTGCCAAATTAGAGACATTAATATCACGTATCTTGTGGAAAGAAATTATAACTTCTATATGATACCATATTATTATCATCATATCAGCCTTTAACTGTCCACTGCTGAACATAAGTCTCTCCCTTGTGGGGTTTTGCCAGTAGCTGCCATGTTTGGCAGGCGGATTGACAACCGCAGTTAGGCTTTAGAGATGTTTTAAGACGGACGCTGCTGCCTATCCCTCGCCCTCCCTTAGCCTCTTACAACACCCACGGGAAAGGAAGGAGTGGCCTTTTCTATGCCAGGACCAACACGGCGACGTACCATACCCTATCAACCGTTAATTGTCCACTGTTGCACATTCTACCAGAGGGAGACTTTGTACAAGTCGATTGCTTGGGCACCTCTGTTCCATTCGTGTTTCTACCGTGAAGCAGTTGTGTTTGCATGGCTGTGTTTCGGTTTGAAGGGTGGGATATGGCGTGAATTTACTGGGTACAGAGGAATAACACCTGAATCCTCAGGAATGGCAACGCATGGGAGGTATCATGGGCGAAACAGTATACTCTGTTATGTCCATGGTACTGCTCATGTCTATAGGCGACGGTTACCACTTTCCATCAGATGGGCCGTCAGCTTGTTTGCCAATCTAAGTAGTATAAAAAAAACATAGGCCAATAGAGAGGCCCCCAATGGGGGGGATCTTCTATATTACTTAAATTGTGAATAGAAATTGCTGATTGAGATCAAACTAAAAGATCATACTAATAAAAGACAGTATATTTTTCGACGACTTTATTCTAAAAAAATCCTTATCAATTAACTTGTTATCTAGAACTTGATATATAATTTTGAGATCCTAAGGTGCACGTGATAATAACATATTGCCTGCAGAAGAGACATAGTCGAATGAATCGTGGACAATATACAGTCGTGACTAGTAAGAGATATTAGCATCATATCGATGAAGTTTAAACTATTATAGCACCAGCTTATTTTTTTGGCAATATTTTTAAAAAGAATTCAAGTGAGCATAAACATGTTATGTCCATGGTATATATTTGTTGCTAAGGAAAGATTATAATAAAGACTGATAGAACTATGAAAATTTGCTTTGACTAGGCGATTTTTAATACCGTGAACTTTACAGTGCATTCTCTGAAATCCGGTGACAACTTACCATCGGATAGACCATCAGCTTGTTTACCATTCTAAGTTGCATAAAAAATGTAAAAAAATAAAAAATGGACTGTCATTATTGACAGTTATGCTGACTATTTGTATTTTAAAGCGTTTTGTTTATAATTTAATCTAACGACACCCTATATAATAAAATTCCTTAAGTTGTATAAACTGCACTTTGCAGCAAAGATCTGTAAGTACATACAAGTTGAAATGGAAATTATTAATATCCTTTTAAGTAAATATTTTACTAATGTTTTATTTAAAAATGTCCAGTTTGGACATTTTTCCAAAGAATTTGCAATTGAAAAGTAATTAAATATCTTGAACCTTCCATATTAATTGTTGATAACTAGACACGTCGTGTTTATATAATACCCTCTTGGGGGGGGGGGGGGGGGGGGGGGGGGGGGCGGTCTAGTTTCAATGTTAGAAAAGAAAAAATACTAAGAATTCATCCTGTATATATTCAATATATATATATATTCAATATATATATATATATATATATATATATATATATATATATATATATATATATATATATATATATATATATATATTCAACCGACATTCGACAGTTAGGTGAAAAGGAATGGTATCGTAATCCCACCATGAAATTGTACAAGTATTAATATTGAATCCATTTGCAATATTTATTCGACTATGTCTTTTCTGTTTGAATCACCAAGTCACAAAATCAGTTTCTTGATAGTGGGCAAGTTTGATGCATGATGCAGTCAATGATAAAATGTGATAACAGTGTAATAGATCAGTGGTTTGCATGACAATTTGTAGGCCGTGATCATTAGCTACCCCTAATAACCGCCACTATCAAGTTACTGCATATTGCGTATCATTCCCATTGTAGTTAATTTCACAATAAACTATGTAAAATTATATCATCAAAAAGATATTTTCATATCACCTATCTAGTAATTTAGTTTTTTTTTTTTTACTTCACTACAACAATGTTTTACAAGTAGTTTACTGTTGACAACGATATTTTTAAGCTGGTTGGAAAGGAAACATAATTTGACACATCATACTAGATGGCGCAGGAATCGAGATTTGCAATTTTTCTCAAGCATAGTTTGATGAAAAATTCCTAAATTGGCAAGTGATTTTTTTTTTATTTTTTTACAGATGCATTTATCGTCCTTACACCTTGCGATTCGAACCTCACGATCGCCTATCAATTTTTGTGTTTTCATTTACTATCAATACGTCAAGAATCAGTACAATAAAGTATCCTATAGTGTAACCCATCCGCGTACAAAATTTGAGTCAACTTCCTTCAGCCGTTTAAGCATCATTGATTAACAAACGTACAAATATTAAAACATCCAAACATAGAAATATCTAGACATTCAAACATTCAAACACCCAAACATCTATATGAACTTTCACATTTATTATATTAGTAGGATACATACTTATGACATTTATTAAAAATTAATTCAAAACCTATACTACAGACCACTGTACAGTGGCCATGTTATTATCAGGACAATTAAAAAACGGTCATAGTCGTCCGAAGTGAAAACTCCTTAGCTTAACAGACACGTAAACATTATTTTGAGGTTGTTAAAAAATATATTTTATTAGCAATTACTTTTTTTTCAACGTACAGTAATGTAATAACAAAACTCTCATTTATTCCGTTGTTTTATATGAAAAAGAATGAATATACATATATATTTGTCCCCATCCTAAAGAGTACCCATCGTGCCTAAAAAGTTTTCACTTAAAATGAATGAAAATTTTTAATCTCTTTAAATTGTAATATAACTACTGAAGTACTGAATATATAACGAAACTACGCTATAAATAAACATATTAAAAAAAAATTATTAATGATTTTTAACAAATTCACAAAATCATGTTTTTACTTAATATAAAAATCCACAAAAATTGAAAGGCTGTGCCCCAATAGATTTCCCAATCCATATTCGCAGATTACAGTCAAAGCTCTATTGTATACGTCACTAACAAGTATTTTGGGCTTTAATGGACTGAATTTTAGTAAAATTAAAAAATAATCACAGACGAGAAAAACAAAGACTAAACAAACCAGTACATCGAAACCACACTATAATAAAAAATAATTAACGTGATTTATTATTAATGTTTGAACAACCCTACCCTACCTACTATAACGCTGTTTTGTCGCGTATTAAGAGCCAATGGACGTACAATACGTACATTATAAATGTATGAATTTTGTCGTGTATTTGCAGACGGGTTGATACGTTCCATGCCATAGATATAGATTTAAATAGATGCCGCATTTACACGTACTTTGCATGTCAATTTTAGATCTCAAAATAGGTGCACGAGAGCCTAATTGACACTGACTAAATTTAATATAGTAGAAAGAAGTTTAAAAAAAAATGACAAAAACAGCATTACATTTTCGAAATGATTTAGAATGGTAGAGAACGGTACACTGTTTGATACCACTGAACAGTAACACTGAACCACCGTCCAGTGTTAAATCTGCCAAATGTATATATTAAACTATTACAATTGTATATATTAATGTATAAATTATAATTGAACTATGTATTAAAGTTTAAATATATAAGTAAATTTATTGCAGCAGGCGATATGCTATCCAACAATTAGCTATTGTAATATCAAGAGCACATAGTTTACTAGTGGCTCTCTTAGTTCTTGATGCAAATTGTGGTAATTGCGGTGTCTATCTATGTCTGCCTATATCTATGTTCTGAATACATCACTTGAGATCTAAACAACATAGTCCTTTTACATCTGTGATCGGTAACTAAGAAATAATCAAGTATTGACTGGAAATTAATTTCAACAATAGAACCCCTAATAAAAATATAACTCATCACCGTCCCTTATACGTTGTTGCACATAAAACTTACGTAACTAAATACATTATTAACTAAAGGCGATCTTTGGTTCTTATAATAAATTTATACGCCCCGCATAATAGACCCTTTTTGTACACATGTTCACCCCTAGCGACGCGTGCGCACATATACTGTCACAGAAAAACGTTCTCAACAAACAACAAGTGAATACACTCATAGGTATAACTTTTGAATGATATTGTTAATTTTACGTTACACGAAGAAAAGTGAAGTTAACAAGCGTATCAGTAAAGTAGAGAACTTATCTTTACTATACTTTTAAATAACAATTCCCTGTTACTTATGACGACTGCGAGAAACGACTGGATTAGGGCAACACTAAGGTATTTATGAATGTCATTCATCAGTATTATAGAAGATATAATTATTTACGTACATATTCACAATTTACACGATGTAAATTTTTATATACAATAGTTTGAGAGCAGGCAGTTAAAATTTTGTAAGCGAACTTACAAACTGATATTGCAATGTTACAAAAACGGCACTAAAAATAATAATAATAGAGCATAAAAAATAAATATTCACGTAATTATTTTAAAACCTTTTTTCTTTCTAATTTCATAATATAACATATTATACACGTAACCCTACCTAATTACTTTTTTTTAACCAAATTACTCTGCTAAATGCGAAAATTATATAAACGTAATTGTTGATAAATTCTGTCTATTCATTACAGGCTATTAGCGTATACTTGAATGAGGCGCCGTTGTCTATCTTGCTCTAATTTGTTTCTTTATCATGTTTTCTCTCTTTCATATTACTCTTTCTAATTATTTAAAAATACAAGTCAAAAAGCGTTAGGTCCAATATCTCGAGCACGTGTTCCGACATGACATATATCAGCTGCTTCTACTTCTAATGATGGGCAAAATAGAAGGCAATAAATAGATGTGGAGGACATAACGTCACAGGATTACTAGTACGAAAATCTATAATTTAGCAAATAAAAAAGACGAATTCGCGAAACTGACGGTCAAATAGAAATTAAGAAAAAAAAAGTACTAAAACTTCTAATGCGGGAATAAATTCCGAGACACATTCATCAAACTTTCTAAATGTAGAAGCCACAAGACATGAACTTTATTATAGAATTTATGTAATAAGGTTTTGTCTTATAATAATGAATTGAAAGTTGAAATAGGGGACGGACTAGTCTTCGAAACAAAACGAAGTGAGATTGTGTAGTATGTCATATAAACATTTTAGTACTTTGTCATGTTGTTTTTATTAGTTTAAATTAGTGCGACAAGATACTATAATTTTTCCGTATCATTACACCCTGCTCTATACATGAATATTTAGATATGAAGAGTTGTTTGTAATGCTAATAATGCATCTAGATTTATAGGTCGTAAAATATAACATATTTGTAATGTTTGTAAAAAATATAACATTTTTTACGTTACTTTACCTAATGCAGCACAAATAGTAACACATTGGTGTACCATAAGATAAGCAATCAAAAATAAAAATTTTATAACGCGTCACGGTTACGATATGATGAAATGCTCTTATCTGGACGCATTGTTAGGATTTTATATAATAACAATATGTTATTTTAGTGGCCGTTCCTAATAATTAGTGTTGTTGGTACTTACTAGAACAATCATAATTTTGTATACCATTGTTTACATGTGACATATCTATAGGTGAAATTTTTTATTATTATATTTTCAGACTAACAGCCATTTATCATTTAACACTGACCAAAAAGTAATTCTGCCAAAACATGAATAAATTTATTAATTTATTTTATTATGTTGATACTTCTAAAAAGGTTGCACAAATTCATGTTTTAGTTTCGTCAATATAGGGCAGTGCCGACTCTTAAATGAAATAATAATGAAGTTGTTCTCTATTATTGGAGACATATTATTGGGAACAGCCGTAACATGGACGTACCGGAAGTGGGGTGGGGAGAAGGGGAATAAGGGGATGTAAACGCGTAGTAAGGCCAACATAATTATCGTTTAGAAGGCCTGCGCGTGCCGACAAACGCCGCAGCCGAGCGCGAACTCCTCACCAGTGGGCGGATGCTGCACGTGCAGTGGACACTCCTCGGAGGAGCCAGGGAGCTGTTCTCCCTTTGGTCCTATTACACAACAACATTTACATATTACAATTCATTGGCCTAATGTTCAAAACTTTAAACAATAACTAACTAAATTAATCTAGACCTTCTGAAACAAAACTGTGAAAACCGCAACGAATTTGTAAAATTTTATTATGTCAATAAGATAATAAATGCCACTGAACATATTAAAAGAGCGCCATCTATCCCGAACTGAACAGAACTTGTACTATCAATTAGACGACTATACTATACATACGAAACACCCAAACATATATAAACAGACACACTTGTGAATAGTTAAATTAAAGGGGATTAAAACCCGCGATTATCAAAAAGTAAGGCAGTACCAATAACAGCTAGGCCACAATAGTTGTCAAATCTAGTACTGGTCTTCTCAAATAGAGTATAAAAAAAGTAAATACCTGCAGGACACTGAGGCAAGAGATGTTTGGGTATATTGGTGACCCGCTGGAAGTCATCATGGCACGCGTTGCAGAAGTGTGATGTGCCGAAACAGAAGAACACCGCCACCTACATTATACACATACCTACATATTACATGAGGATAAATTTGGTTACACCAAAAACTCTGCAATTTCTATCACATCAAGTACGGTATTAAATTAATCTCACAGTGCAGTTATTTAATAATCGAACTAATAGATTACGACTTGATGGGGTACATTATTAACAAAGAGGGCTAGGATTCCCATCCAGCAGGTCTACCATGAAATGAAATTCCGAAATTTCGGACTCAATTTCGTGTCTTTGTTTACACCAAAATCGGACCAATAAATGGAGTTTAACATTTTGTTCCTCATACATCCTATCATAAAAGTCCAAAGGAACAATATTATAACATTTTTAATATTTCCAATCGACATATATTATGTAATTTTAACATCAAATTTGCGTTTCGTTTGGCTCCGAAATTTCGGAAAACACTTCATGGTAGGCCCTCAGACCCTTCCCTCCTCAGACACATGTTTACTACTACATTTATACATCGAACATACCGAGCAGCAATATCGACACTTGTACTCGAGGAAGTCAGCGCCGTGTTTGGGACAGGTCCTGGCGCCGGCGATGTCGCTGCAAGCGCCGCAAACCAGTTCAGCGGGCTCCCACCACCCGCTCGTCTCGGCTTCACACCTCGCCAGCCCACCGAAGTACGCCTGTTGGTAGTGCCTTATATATTTTATGAAACAACTGACTGACGTCCCTAGACGGACATATATCGACCATATAGGTGACGTGCTGAAGAAGAGCCAAATTAAAGGTAACCACAACCGTCGATCATGTATGAAAAGATTGAAGAATGTGGAAGAAGCAAAAGAAGTTTGTTTGAATCGAAGAATTTGGTGTTGCATTGTTTCTGCCTACCCTAATGGGAGACAGGCGTGACAGATATGTATATATGTATGCCCAAAATACACCAGTACCCATTAAGCATTCTTGAAATCTATGGTGTTATGTCTATGGAAACGAAAATATTTTACCTTACATAAAAAAAGCTTATAGGATGCATAATATAATGACCTTTTCACATTTATGGCAGACGTAGTAAGCGTATCTCTCCATGGCATAAGCGGCAGGATCCTGCGGCATCCGGCCACGGGCTCCGCCCGGTGCCGACACGCCCTCATACTCGAGCCTCATGAGAGCTTTACGCTTCACCTCCTCCCGTAACTGCTGTATCGGGGCCAATAGTTCCTCTAACGTCCAATGCTCCATATCCTCCTGTGAAAGGAAGTAAATTAAACTCAATATAAGCTGTCGTTTTTCTTTATAAAACAAACCACACGAAGTTTGTTTTACAAAGAAAAACGACAATCTGTAAACAAGTACGCCGCAATGCGGATTCTGTTTTACGCTTTTACGCTTACCCAAACGCCTACTTAAATCCTCTTTTAATATAGCTGTGATCCATCAACTACGTATATTATCCGTATTCTTACCTTGCATATGGGACACTGTGAGAAAGAGAACGTAATTCTTGGTCCTATCCACTTATTGGCGAGCACTTTTTTACAACAATGCAGGTGAAACACGTGACCACATTTCAACTGAAAAATAAATGGGAAATTTTATATTTCTTTAACTAGTATTTATAACTGAATTTCAATCCAACTAAGCAATTTTTGTTAATAATCTCCGTCACTAACAATCCCCCCCCCCTCCAACCAAGCTTCTATTCACCTGTATAGCGGGCGCGGCTTGCAGTGGGTCCGTAAAGCATATCATGCACATGTCATCGGCATCTTGTCGTAACGGTGCAGAATCACCGCGACCCGAGCACCCGAACAAGCAAGGCAGGCACGTCCGTTCGCAGCGAACACCGCCGCACATGTGACCGCAACTTAGCACGCGGTTGCACGCTTGACGACCGTGCTCCTGATATAATGCATAATTTAAAATTATATAAATAAAGATAAATATAAAATGGAAATTACAATAAAATAAGTTCGTGAAATTGCAACAACTTCACGAAAATTTTTAACCAAATATTAAATCAATCTCTTAATCCCCTATTATTTTATTACATTAAATTATGATTGTAAAAAAGTTTTAATCATTCCCGACATAGTTACTAGTTCGCCAATTTTGAACTTTTCTCGACGAAAAATATTTATTTCTCTTAGATTTTTTAAACATTATCTCAAGTTTTTCAAAATAAATCCATCATCAACAATAAGCTTGAAATATTAACACTACTAAAGAATACATGTTGTAAACATATATTTTACGATATGTGTTTTGATGGAAGGGGTGACAATTACCTGGCATTGTTGGTCGGCGCACACATTCCCAATAGCTAATAAACCAGTAGTGCTCCTTGTACCGCAGAACCGACATGTACCAGAGTACCCGACAGCTCCTACCGCACCGTCTGTACCATCTGCCGTCGAGGGGTCGAACATCGTCTCCATTTCCCTAAACTCCGCTAAAGCTTTCAGGGTCCGTCTGTCCACTAGCAGAAGTAACCAGAACAGTTTCGCTCGACCACAACCTTCGTGAATGTCTATTCTAATAGCGCTTTCCTCTTCTTTGCAAAGCTGTTCAGAAAATTAAAATCAAACTATTAATGTTTATATATTCATTTTTATACAACACACATCGTTTACTAATATATAAGTTCAAGACAGGACTGCAATAAATAATAATATCCGCCTCGAAGGACCAAAAATATAAGAACGATGATAATTGATATAAAGTAATAATTGACTAAACACATACTACAAAACATATGGAGTAAAGTATTTATTCACTTTAGACATATAGTTATGCTTTTTATCTATTAATATAAATTTATTAAATATTACAATTCCTTATACTCATAATATATAACGTAATTAATAAAATATGATAACATGAAATAAAAAAAATTGCTTTAATATTACCTGTCTCTGATGCGTACGCGCAGAACGGTTTAGATGCAGGAACCGATCACATTCGCCACATAACGGCCCACACGTGCGACACTCGATGACAGCCAGGGTCGCACCGTCGTCGTGGTTCGAACAGAACGGTCGAGCTTCCACCGCGTCGCGGCGACACTCACGACCGTCACCCACACCATTTATTCTAAATAAAATTTAATTCCATTAAATGTTTCAAAAATCATTTATCCACTGTTGGTCAGAGTTCTCTCCCATCGACTGTCCTAAACAACGATTCCCAGCCACATTTGTAATTTAAACCAGTATCTGCAGTCACATGAATACTAACGGGAACATTTAAATATTCTACGACCAAACAAACACCGGGCTCGAGCATTATCTGACGTTACGTCGATGTAAGGACCAATCTTCGGCGCAGTATAACAAATAATAGCATGATTGGCGACCGAAAGTGTACTGAATGGTGCTGGTCAATCACAACAATATAAAATCCGCTACAATTTGAAAACTTACCAAACCTACTAAAATACTGCTGGTCAGTTTTCTGTATCAACGACATACTGTATTTAAAGCATAAAATGTATAATGATGAATCGACTCATATTTCAATATGTAACTGTTCGCAAACACAGAGCGCCACTAGCGCCATCTACATTAGCGACAAGAGCACGTATTACTGTAATCACGCATAATTTGAAATTTGAAGTTTTGTATGATCATTAAGGTGACGGTAAAGGTGGTGCTGGTGGTATAGTGTTGACAATAATGTTGTAGATGGTGATGAGAACAATGATGATGTTGATGAATCGACTCACATTTCAACGTGGGACTGTTCGCAAACACAGAGCGCCGCTAGCGCCATCCACATGGGCGGCGAATGCACACAACGTCCGTGACCGCGCTCCTCCTCGCCTAGCTGTGCCACTTGTAATACGTAGTTGGCTAACGCCGACCGTGTCTCTGGACCCCATACGAGGGATATCTTGTCCTATGGATAGAGTTAAATATTATTTTATTTATTCTGGAATAAGAATAATTTTTATTCGTATAACAACTTCATTTATTCAAATAGTAAATTTATCATAAACACTGTCATTTTAAATAATATACAACTTAACTGAAAGGCATATATAGGATATTTAAACTATACGTTTAAGAACATCTGCTCTAAATAGACATCCTGATGATCTTCGTAGTGAAGTAGTTTAACAAACCGCCTCTTCTACTGATGTTCACAAGTTCGATCTCAGCACATTTGTATTCATAAGAAAAGTTTTTACAAAAAGAGAAAATTTTTATATTTATTATCTAGACAATTCTTCAAATTTTTCTCGCCATAACAAATTACTATAGACTTATTATTCCTTTAGACATATATTAGAAAACAAAAATTAGCCCAATTAGTCCAACCATTCTCGAGTTTAGTACATTTAACGATTCATTATTTATATAGTTAGATTTACCTCAGCCATATCCGATAGCAGTTTTGCGACAAGATGTGCATGCTTCTTAGTAGTCTCGCCCTTCATGAACCAAGTGGCGGGCGGGGTGGCGGACACGCTGCCGCCCATCATGACTGGCTTCGGTTGCACCGGACCCGAACCCTTGATTTTCACCTGGACCGTGATTGCCTTGCCCAGATACGCAACCAGGTGATCCAATAGAGTCACCCTGAGGGCGCAAAAGGAATTCATATAAAATGTTGGTTAATATGATATGCCGTGTAAATAACAATTGTTGCAATATAAACGACCTTTAACGACCCTTATGGTGGAGCGACCAACACGTTATTTTGTGTAATAATGTCTATGGTTCGATTCTCGGTCGAACAAATTTAGAAAACAAACCTTTCTAAACTGATTTAAGTCTGAGTGTACCGTCTTGAGTTCCCCCAGACATTCATTTCTTGTTTCAAGGTAATTTCAATAACACAAGGTAAGCTTGAAGACCAAGCGGTTGGCGATGTAATTTTTATTAAATAAATGACTTTTTACAGTAACGAAAAGTACATAGATATTTAATATAATGCTATATTTCTTAACAATTATTATTATTGTACTATATTGTATAATTATAAATTAACCACTGCGAATGACGGTACCATAATAAAACTAACACTAAGTTAGATAGATAGATAATTAATTTGCATTACTTATAGCACACAAATAACAATACAAACATACACATAATACAAACATACACAGTAAAAGAGATAAAAGAATGAAAATTAAAAAAAGCAATATATATAAAACAACAATTTTCTCCTTTCATGCGGGTGCCATAGTAACAAAAAACGGTCACAACTCAGTTTATTGCTTTGTCCCTCAAAAGAGCAAAACACTGATATTCTGTGGTGATCAAGAGCCAGTCGCGAAATTCCTTAATATAAATAATAATAAAAAAGAAATATGAATAAAATACATTGTGTGTGTCCATTAAATTTGTCTCCATTTGATAAAATAATTCTAAATAAATAAATAACAGATACCATTAGACGCGGGGTAGTAGCTAGAAATATATTTGTTAAAAAGGTCATTAGTATTTTCACCAGTAAAGTATTTCGTTTGCGTAATTGGGACTATCGCCCATACCCAAGAGAGCATCATTCATTCATCTCTACAGACCTAATATATTTTAAATGTTAGGCCTCTGTACTCTATAATCACATCCCACCTTTCAACCCGAAACTAATTTTTTATGCAGTACGAGTATAACCAATAGAGATTTTCTTGTATGAAATCAGTATTATACATAAAGCTATTTCTTTACAATGTCTCCAAATATCACAAACATATTTATACATATTATGAGAGGAAAAAAAAAACAAAGTAATCAAAACCTGCACTTGCCTTGTATTCAACTCATTCTTGTAATTTACTGCGGCGAACATCTTCTGTGGCGGTATTTCAGTTATTATACGACGTAGTAGCGATATCACCTGAACACACACAAAACATGTGTACACAATTGACTCTTATACATTGGCTCCTAATTTAGAAAAATACCGAACGTCTAATAAACCTATTTCAGGTATTGAATTAATTGTTGTCTTTTTATATTGTTCTAATTTTTTGATTTAAATAAAGAAAGAATACTCTTTAATAATGAAAATACATAGGTAAAGCGTGATATTGTTAAATAATGCATTAGAGGTACGGAGTAAACAGGACGAAGAAACTAAGTGTAAAATAACGAATTGTGTGTGTGTAGAGATTAGAAAACTAATTCAAAATTAAATATGCGATGTTATACGGAACAAGATTCGAGCCCTTAATTCATAAAACTAAAACCATTTACAAACTTATTTTAACTGTTTTCTTTTTTTTTTCTTTACGAGTCAATGGCAAGGCAATATAAACTAAATGCTTATAGCCTAGAACTAGGCCACTTTTTTGTGGCGTCCAGTAAGTCCTGAATAGGGCTTTTATTTATAATAATAGTAATATTTATTTATTTAGCCCATTTTGTTAGTTATAAATTTACTTAATCAGCGGTCATGACGCTCTTGCATTGATAACCTGTCCCACCTAATATTTTAGGACGGGACAGTCCATTTTACCGGCAATTGCCTTTATGACCCTAATTATTATTTTTTGTCGCTTTTTTTTTCAAATTGAGAATTTAACACAAAAGAACGCTTCAACAAATAAACTATGTTTATATTTAATATGTTTATAAATAAAAGGATAAGTCTTCTTCGACCAAGTATTTATAGTCGTCCACATACCTGTCTCTGGACCCGTTCGCTGCCTGTATGTAACAGTGCCAGTAGGTCGGCCAATAGCTCGGTCTGCTGAGCGAGGTGCGCTCGACCTACCGCGCTGCCACTCAGAGCCAGCAACTATATCAACAGGTAGAGATCTTAACACAAATCTTGAAAATTCAGAAACTATATTATTTGATTCTTTTATTATTCTTACGGCATCAAACAACCAAACTGGAAAAGGAATTCCACCCTTATGTCATAAACATACCCATTTATCGGTACGCGTTTTGCGTTTTCTATAATTATGCATACGGCTAAGGCATGGAACTCTCTTCCTGAGTATATTTTTCTAACCATATATAATCTAGACCAAACATAACTTATACTTATTTAAAGCAAATGTGCACAGGCATTTCGTGGGCATTTGAAATCCATCCTTGAAAACGACATCATTAGATGAGGTCATGATCAATCGGGAAACCTTTCAATAGTAAAAAATAAGACCTACAACTTTGCCAGTAAAATTGCTGCACTCTAAATTTAAAAAGATGTACTTACCAGAGACAACATTTCAAAGCAATAGTTGTCCTGCGTGTGCGCATGGGGGACAGGCCTATGTATCGAGTCGTCGGTGGCTCTCTCCGCCGCCTCAGCACACAACAACGCCGTTTCCCAGTCGTCGCGCACGCGGGATGCTTCGCAACCAATCGCGCAGACTATATGTGACATCACCTGGTGATAAACGGGGGAGAACCAGTTGATTATCACTACAACTTATTATCGTAGGATAAAATAGAATGGGCTTCCCTTCCGCCCTTATAGTTCGTCCGTATAGTGTTTGAGTTTGTCAAATATTTGCAAAAAAAAAGAAAATATTTTGCGATATTTGCTAGAATTCAGAGGAGTGGAACTAGTACCATCTGAAAATGTAGTCTTATGCTATTGTAATAAAATAGAAATAATCTTTATTTAAATAAACTTAATCACTAATACTTCCAAATCGTCAATTACTTATATTATATATAACAGCGTAATGTACTAAAAAACATAATGAAAATACTTATAATCAGCAAACTTTTATGAATAGACTGATAAAGGTATAAGAAGTAGGAAATTCATTTTGAATAGGGATATTTGTTTTATTATTTCTACTTACTTTAACCACTTAATGCGAGGGTTTTTCTGTAAAATAAGGTCAACTGGCGACACCATACAATAATTATACACTAAGCTTTATGAAATACAAACTTACGAGAAGGTATCGCTCTAGATTATAATATAAACATAATATTTATAAGTGGCGAGAGGTACTCGGGATAGCGCAAATCGGAACGCATTTGATGTGCGAGAGGGTCTTATTCGAGATACTTATGTGGTTAATAGAAGAAACGAAAAGAAACATATGTATTTATGTTCTTTCTTCACAAACCTGTCGCTGCAGTGAGGTGAGTTTATGTCCAGCGAACAATATCCCGACAACGTGTTCTCGAAGGTCACTGTCATCAGTGGGCGCAGCTTCCTCACCCCCGGTCGCTCCCTCGTTACCAGACTCGCTGCCACTTCGGTCCCATTCCAGAAGTTTGCCGAACACCTGTAACGTTTACATTTGAGATATTTGTGCTTCAAATACTTTTATGCCACATTTTGAGCAGTCTTGCCAACTGTGCCTACACTTTTCGAGACTTTTATTTATTACGTAATTAATCGTCAACTCCAAAAACAGTATAGTATGAAATACATAAAAAAATAATAAGCACAAATGGCGATTTGTTGTAATATTATATTAATTTTTCTGTTTTACTCGACTGGACTGTTCGACGGAACAGTCGTACCAACACAACAGTACTCAATACCATTAAAAAAAATCTTACCTGTGACGTAAGCAACCTAAACACTCTCAAAGTATCAGCCTCGGATAGTCCATGCAAGACCTGTGCTGGGCTGGCAGCTTGCGCAGCGACCGGCGCAGGCGCACTCAGTATCCGTACTTGGCGAACCCGTACTGCTGGCTCTGGACCACGGAGTTCGCAGCGCACTCGTAGAGATGGACTTGTCACCCCTGTATGACCAGGAAGTGTTAAAAACCTTGCCTCACAAAAATCACAATAGGATTTTCTTTGAACAACCCGTCGAGTTATATTCAAAGAAAATTATTACGAAGGAGGAATCCTTTGAGATTTTGATATTAATTTGTGATAAGAATGATGGCCAATATGAAACTCACTAGGCAAGGTATAGCAAAGCCAAGTCGCCGTCTTGGAGTCGACTTCAATATCTTGCATGTGGAACATCTCGCTGGAACCGCCCGCATACAGGAACGATATCAGTAATGTCTTGTTCTAAAATATAAAATAATGTATGAATACAAATAAACGTGACATAAACATACATAAGTAGGGGGAAGGGGTTGTTAATAATGCGGACTATCAGTAAGTAGTAGTAACAATGTGAAATCAGTGTGGGAGTGCATAATTATATTACAATTGTATTCGTCTAAATAGCTGTCCAAGCTCCACATAATTTACATAATTTTATCTGTATAATATAGAAAGACATCGATGACTGTTGAAAGCTCTTGATTTTTTCCGACTTTTTGAACAATTGTCATCATATTTCAACAAATTAAAACAATATTAAACAATACGTATAAATCTTCCTTTTAAATCACTTCTAGACTCTATCTATTGACGAAAACCACAACAAACTCCGTTTCATATTTGATCTACGCGTAGTTGATTTACTATGTAGAGACTTACCACGGTATCTCTAGTATTATCAATGTGTACAGCGACAATATGCGGTCGGTCCTCCGGCGTGCCACCAGGATATGAAACTTGAATCCACTTCGCTTTATTCCGATCCTCATCGCCTGACTCCCAGAAGGTCTCCGTGCTGCCGTCAGTCAACGCCCCCGCCATGCCTTGTCGTGAAGAAACCGTGATATCACACCAGCCGGTCACATCCGGACAACTCCACACGTAATTCTCCTGGTGATTTCATGACAATTAGTATTAAAATTTAAAGTATTTATTATTTATTATTAAAAAGCGAACTAGAATAAAATATAGCCCATGGCCTTTACAATATTATTTTTTATTTATTTTAAATAAAATTATATCTATATATACAGTAGGTATTAATATGTTTTAAATTTTTAAAGTCTAAATAGTAAATATCTTGGTCCTTCGAACCGGATATACAGTACCTTGTTGTGATAACTATGGTAACTTTCATGCAGGGCACCGAGCATTCCGTCATCATAAATGCCATCTTCCGAGTGCGACAGTATCTTGCTGATGACGCTGAACACTTGAGATCTGCTCCGAGCAGCGTTAACAATTCCAACCACATCTAATATGCATATGTTACGTATTCTTAAGAATAATTTTATTGTTTTGGAATGTCATGTAGGAAATGTAAATCTCATTTGTATATAGTTATTCAATATTATTAAATATTTATTATTTAATTTAAAAATGTGTAATTAAATTAATTCAATTACTATATATTATAAGTAATTTAATTACTATTAAATTGAGAGTAAATCAAAGTCACATTAAAGGGATTATTATATGTATTATTATATATATTTATACATTACTTTATATTTGACATCTACACAACATATTTTATAGCATCGTGAATATATCAAAAGTTAGCCTGCAGATATGTTTAAAAAATTAACTTATTGATTTACATACCGGTGTAAGAAGGCACGATCATGCGGCGAGTAGTGCAATGCCCAGCATCTAACTGCCTGCAAGCCAGATGCACTAGAAGGCGGCAAGGACGGCGCTAGGGCGCTCACTGATCCGAGGAATGCGTGAAAAGCAGCTCTCGCCCCTCGAGCGGATCGCCCACCCGGGCATATAGCTGACGCAGATGCTGTTGGAGTCGTGTTTCGGGTGCTTTCTGGTATATTCTTAAAAACAAAAATATAATATACTTAGGCCACAGATCTCTTACTATATTATGCTTTTTTTTAACCTTGCTATGCTTTACCATTATTGAGTAATGAGTGGAAGCACAAATATTATTTCATAATGTCAAAATTTATAAATTTCTTACACTACTTTAAATTATGCTCCATTTGTGAACCAAAAATAGAAGAGCTATTCAGTCGTTTCGCCATGATTGAACAAACCTTCAAACGTAAACTGTCACATTTACTAATATTTTATATAATTTTAATTATTTCTTATTCTTACCTCCTTATTATCGTCAAGCGAGAGCGGCGGTGGCACGATCCGTGCGTATTTATCAAGTGCACTGCAGAACCACCACATGACGTCGTGCACGCACGTCGGTTGCGTCGCCGAACGAAGCAACCAATTCAGAGCCTGACAAAATGTTATAAAGTCAAATTCATTAATAAAGTTTAGTAAGAATAGTAAAAAGAATGAACGAGAAAAGAACATTAATTAAAACAATAGCGAATAGAAGAGGCAAAATGCTGGGCCACCTTATACGACATGACGATTTTTTAAGAGCATAGTAGAAAGAAAAATAGAGGGCAAAAGAGGAAGAGGATAACCGAGGAATAATTACATGGGACAGATAAAAGAAACACTAGATGTCATGTCGTATAGGGAGGTCAAGGATATGGCCTGGGATAGAACTGGCTGGAAGAAGATGCATGAATTAGTTGCACCGACAAGAGGATACTCTTAAATGAAAAGAGAATAGTTAGTATCTAATTTTGGTAATTAGGCTATAGCCACTGTCGTTTTTATGAAAACGATAAAAATATAAGAAACATTCCTTGTTTCACCATCATTACACTATGGTGTACTGTTTGAGGTAGAAGTCAAGTCTCCAGACCCGTGTGTATCTAAGATGGATTATGGATGATAAAGGCCTTGGACAGGGGAACAAGGGATTGTTAGCAATGAGGATTACCAATCCCATTGCTAGCAATAAACTTTCTCAGGTCGACCTCCTCGCGGTTCCCCCTGGAAACCATCTTGATTGGTTTAATATTGAATTCGTCATAATGGGCTAACTGACCTGCTTTCATCCTCATCAGTCATCTATCACTGGTACCCCGTCAGTGTATAGCGATAGCGCAGGCGGGGTTACCATACCATTATCACCTATTAAAAAAAAAGGCCTTGGACACTATATTCTCTCTACCTACCATGTTATACTTAAGATAGAACGATCTAACTAGACATACGAAAACATGCAGTTTTTACTGCAACCAACGAGATCTAAAAAAAAAAAAGCCCATCTAGTAATAACACTTGATATGTTCTTAAGATCACTGAAATTTTTATAGAATTTATTTAAATATCCAAAATTAAGTTAGGTGTCAGTAATATTATTTTCTTTGTTGTTTTTTGTCTATGGTTATAGTAACCTGTCACAACATGTTATAATATTTAGAATAATTCAAAAGAAAATACAATCTAACTCACCTCAAAGGCGTACTGTCTGACGGTATTGATCCTAATCGCGGCGTCCATTTTTTGTCTGTACGCGTGTAAGTCTCGTCTCGCCAGCACGAATGTAAGAACTGGGCTCCTCATGAGAGCTTCGGGGTCCACTCGCGACGGTTCGAAGGCGGAGACGGAACAGGTCTCTTTGGACCACGCCCCACAGCCCACTAGGCGGTGTAGAGCCGCGCTTGGTTGCGCTAGCAGAGATGAGCCGGCGCCTGAAATTGATATTCGTTTGTTGCTTTACATTTTATAAATGTACCTTGCATACACTGATTATCTAATAGTTTATATGCATAATTTGCTAGCTTTGTTTTGAAACCCTTATAAAAAATCAATATATGCTGTTTCATCTTTATTAATGTTGTATGCGACTATAATTGGATTGCAAACTTATAATGCTATTGTTTTATTATATTAGAAAAAGTTTTATTTATCTGTTGATGTACCAAATAAATAAATAAACTAGCCGTTTCCCGTAACGTTGCCCGCGTGAATTATTATAAAAAGTATCATATATATTAATGTAGTATATGCGTCCAGCCGTTAACATTATCGTGTAAGAAACATTTAAACATTTTTGCAAGCTACCACATTTATAATATTAGTAGGATAATAGAACTAGTTGTATAACTGACAGGGATATTATCTATGTTCTTTCACATTCGATATACTAAGCATATAACGAATTTTTTAATAATCAATTGAACTGTTGAATCGGTAAATCGATAAAAATTATATACTACTTGAGTATCTCTACACTTATCAAAAGTAAACTGGTAAAAATGCCTGAGCCATGAGGGTATTTAAAGGAAGGTTCGTGCCCACCATAGAACTGCTAGTGCCAATCCCAAAATGCGAGTACAGCTTTTATGTTTCACAACGACATGTCTAAAAGGATATATATGCACCATTTATAAAGGCTCCAGCCTCCCCTCCTTAAATCTGCCAATACTAAAGGCATTAAGCCTGCCTTATATATCACGATCAATTGAGCAATAAAATATAAATAAATATGTACCTGAGAGTGTGTCCTGTGAGTCTGGGTGAGTTCGTCTCGTGAGCGGAGGTCTACCCGCGTTCGATAGGTCTCGTCCCTTCTCTTGACCCATCGACACTGATCGGTGCACCCGCAGCCAATTCGATCCGGGTGGACCATCCGTAGAACCATATGGGGCCGCCTGGAGATTTTTTTTTATAATCCCATACAACTAATGTTTGTATTCACACAAATTCATAATATGTAAAATTCGCACCCTGAGAAATTATACCTACCTACCTGCATAATAGCATAACGTAATAGCAACACAAAACAGAGCAATATTAATTCTCTTAGATCAATATTAAATCTTTTCAAAAATATTTCCACTATATATTTATTTATTATTATTTTTGCCGCGCAGTCTCGGCATAGAATAGACCATCCCTTCTTTTCCCGTGGGTGTTGGGAAAGGCAATTAAGGGAGGGCGAAGGATGGGCAGCAGAGTCCCTCTTAAAACATCTTTAAAATCTAACTGAAGTTGCCAATCCACCTTCCAAGCATGACAACTAGGCAAAACCCCTCAAGCCTTCCCAGATTATGTTCAGCAGTGGACAGTTAAAGGCTGATACGATGATTATGTTTATATGTGTGTGTATAGATTAATAATTAATATGTTTACTCACGTGCGAAGTCACAGACGATGTGGGCGGTCGACCTAACGAGTGGTATCTAGCAGTGTCCACTGTAGTATGCAGGGGTTTAGGGGCGGCACCCAAAGCTGCCAGACACTGGAAGGGTGGGGCGGGCTGCCACATACTACCAGGGGGAGTGGGAGGACTTCGACCTGGGGCCTCGTGCCATGGAGACGTACTCATCGACTCTGTATATAAAACGTGTTGACCGACAATCAGTACATGTTGTTACACATTATTATAAAAGGCTGGTACTAAAGAATTCGAACAAATTAAAAGATTTTTATACGGATGAAGCAGAAATAATACACTCGCCTATGCTAATGGCGTGCAATAAATGGAAGATGAAACGTTGGTGAAGACAGGTCAATGACCCATCGTAGCAAATACATTTAAAATAAGTCACGATGATTACCAAGGGAAAACACGTGAAGCTTGAAAACAAGCCTATTTGAAAAATTATGCTTTCTTTTCCTTTCCATTATATTATATTCTATATTTGATTTCAGTAGAGCCGATACACTTATTATATAGCTTAAAATGTAAAAAAAAATTAATAGCCCGCCTGTTATAAAATTATGACCATCGACTATAAACGTGAACAGCAGTTATTCATCATTAAAATAAATAAGCAATGTGTTTTAGACCAAACTTGGACTAAAACATCGTTCCTATATCTAAGAAATAACTTCAAATTTCTTAATAAACTTACTGCACATTCTAACATGAATTTCTATTATTATACTATGACATGTGACCATCTCATCGCGAGTAAAGTTCCATAGTTCATAAATACGATCGATCGAATAAAGAACGATTTACTCTCACCGGTTGACCGCACTATTTCGGCTCACTAAGTGCTTTTTCACGCTGCCTTTAAAAGATCTTAGGTTGTAAGATAAAGGTAACAGCTTGTCAAAAGTCTTGGAAAAAGCTATTCCACATTGTTGCAGTTCATGTAAAAAATGGCAAACTTATTTGTAGAGCGACTGACCGCCCGCGAATGCAGGCGATCAGTCGCTCGATAGGGTGAGGACGCAGTCATTGACCTAAAAAATTTTAAAAGGCATGAATTTACTGGGTACAGAGGAATAACACCTGAGTCCTCAGGAATGGCAACGCATGGGGGTATCATGGGCGAAACAGTATACTCTGTTATATCCATGGTACTGCTCATGTCTATAGGCGACAGTTACCACTGTCAATCAGGTGGGCCGTCAGCTTGTTTGCCATTCTAAGTTGTATAAAAAAAAAAGATTAAAACCATAACATTTTTAAATGTATCAATATACCGTCACAGTCATAGAATACTGACGAATCTTTATATGTAATATTTGTCAGATCCGTCAGTATTCTACGACTATGACGATATGTATTAAAACTGACCTGAGTATGTCAACGGCGCCAAGTCCAGCAGGAACACAGCATTGTCCTTCATGATATGGTGGTCTACTTCTGGCAAGGGGTCTGCACGTTCGAACCCAGGTTCCGTGACGATTTTCGTTTTCGACTGCTTTATCGATGAGGCCGCCTTCAGCGCTTTGTCGCGGCATTTCTCGCAGTAGATGTACCATAGCTCATAAGCTGGTAAAGAGATTGGAAATATTTAAGTGTTCATGAGAAGATCATACATTGAGTTTTGGGTAATATATGGTTTGCATTTAGCGAAATGAAATACAAATTTAAGCATATTTAAGTTTGAAGAACATTAATATGTCCATGCATGATGGATACCACATGAATCACACTGTATTCTGTGGTTTGCATGGCATTATGGAGTATTCATATCGTATAAAAAAAAATTGTCTTCCCATGGGCACATTTTAAATTAATACTCATAACAATTACACCTGTTACAAGTTCTTTTAATTTGACAATTTAGCATTTAATGTTTTGTCTTGATACCCCATTGAAGTTATTGACTTTTCTACTGAAATTCATGTGTATAAAGTAGTAGTAAAAAACTAATAAAAAATATACTAGAATCCTACAACTCAAAATATAACTATAAACTCTGATATTAAAAGAAAACGACATCTAAATATATCCTTAAAGATAATTATGACAGGCACGAAAGAGTTAAACGCCATTTTGAAGGGTATTTACAATAATTGCATATAATGTTACATCTATTAGGTGCCTATTATATAATGCATAAATAATATAATTTATAAGTAAACTAAAATGGCAATGAAGCATTCTCGGCCATAAAAGGTAACTGCTTTTAAGCTGTTATTTTACATATAGTATTTGTTATGTAATTAGAATTGGAAAACGGGGTGACGGACCTCCTCATAAAATATAGTAATCTTTACCTATAGATGTGATTAAAACTGAATTCCCATGACACTCCTATTTAGGTTAGTTTCCCCTTTCTAGTTAGGACATTGCGTTGGGCATTTGGTAGAACTAACCATAATTAACAATTTTTTATACCTACCCACACAAAGATTTGGGAAGGAGACGGGATATTTTATTATCTCTATCAATAATATATATCCTAGTGGCGAAGTTGCGGCTAGAAATTAGTAATCAAATAGCGAGACGAAGTCTTTGTACAAAAGTCATCTGCATGGGTTCATCATATCAATCTTTAACCGTCCACTGCTGAACATGATCCTGCCGCTTGGGGGGTTTTGCCAGTAGTTGCCGTGCTTGGCAGGCGGATTGACAACTGCAGTTAAGCTTTGAAGGTGTTTTAAGAGGGATGCTGTTGTCCATCCCTCGCCTTTCCTTAGTCGCCTCTTATGACACCCACGGGAAAGTATGGGGTGGCCTATTCTATGTCACACACTAATACATACTATAACCACACGGCAACCCTGCCAACAACGGTTACTAGAGTAATAGATGGGATAGATCCCAATCTGGTTTTTGTCGTGAAACAGCTGCTGTGTATAAAGCTGTGTTTTGGCGTTTTCAAAGATGGACTACAACAATGAAGTACAGGATACGCAGGTATATTTTAGTCCTCAGGAATGCATAACAGATATAATAGTCAGGATTTCGACAACAATAGTCGAAATATTTCGTCCATGGTGCTGTTTAAGTTCATGGGCGGTGGTCGTCACATTCCATCTGGTGGATCGCCAGATTCATCTTAAAAAATTAAACATAAATGCACGTTCTCACTTTGAGCGAGTTGTCCACAAGCGGACGAGGGGGCGTCAGCGTGAGCGGGCGTCGGATCCGTCGGTCGATACACTCCGGAACGATCGTAGCCGTACACGGTGGGCAGTTTGCATCCGGGGTGAGAATGCCGCAAGTGCGCCGCGATAGGTGGCGCTACACTAGCCCCACCGCACAACTCGCACCTCACTATAAGACCAGTATAGCTACTGAATTTAAATACATACATTATTGTGAACTAAAATAAAGAAATCCTATGAAATGAATTTATTACCTAAATTATACCATAAATTCTCATTTTTTAAATAACTATAAATCATGCAACACGAAGGTCTTAGAATAGATCTTTTCAGGAATAATTCTCTAGAAAGCTTTTATTATATAAATTATTATAAGTATTTTTAACATACAACGTACAAAACACTTTTAAAATAATATGATAATCCTATTACTTGAAACAAAACATCAAACTACTATATATCTTGGGACACTGAATATAATTTGAAACACCATGAAGAACGCTTTTAGCATTAAGTCTGCCTTGTACACATTGATGTACTAATGAATAAATAAATAAGAAAGAATCATTTAAACCAGTAATTTAAAAGATGACAAAACTTCAAAATATCTTAATATATTATAAAACAAATCAAAGAAGTGAGTTCAATTGATATTATACAGAACTAGGCACGACAGAAAAATATAGAAATATTAAGGGCTAAAAATAAAGAAAAAATAGAGCGAACCTGAATAAGGTGTCTTCGTCAAGGATTTCCAATCGCGTTTCTTGCGAATACCACTGAACGACCTTCCATCTTCATTTTCATTTTTCTCTGTCTCATCTTTTTTAAGTCTGTGATACAAAAAAAATTTTTTTTTTTATTCTTAACTCTCGATCTCTCCGGTTGTAAAAAACACAGTGGAAATAAAATCTAGTTGTGGCGGTCTGCTATGCTGAATTCCACCAGTAAAATATTTATCAATAATTTATCAATAATTATAAGCATTTCAAATGTTACATTCCCCATAATAATAATGAATTAACAAATTCCTCATAAACAAAACAACAACAAACAACAAACTCAGCACAGTACAGGACACAAGATTTAAAAAAAAAAATGTCGCACTAACTTGTCAGTGGCGGCCGTGAGTTGGTCTGCCTCGTACATTGCATCCCAGAGGGCGACTAGAGCGCGTAATGCTGGCGGTAACACGTTCACTACAGACGGGGTGGAACCTGCTAACCATACCGTTAGTATATGATCACATTTACAATTTACCGTACCACGACACGATATCGATTTTACCGTGACAATATTATAAGACAACATATATACAACTAAACAGAAACAATTTTAATCATCCATCAACGTCCACTATCTCATCATGAAATTGGTCATCATTAGCAAAATTGTGCGGAAAATTTAATTCATTCATTCAATGTCACCGTACAACTGTATACGTTTTGATTTCCTATTATATCGTAACGATAAAATCGATATTATGACGTGTTGGATTATAAACCATTATGTTCTCTATAAGTTAAAATAACTACTAACAACCTGAGAAGATAAGCGGGTTATGTTTATACATTTACTAGCTTTTACCCGCGATTTCGTCCGAGATATGTTCATTGACCAGGATAAATAGCCTCTATCCTTCTCCATCTCATAAAATACGTGTATACTAAATTTCATAAAGATTGATTGAGCTGTTAAAACGATATAAAGTAACAAACAAACAAACTCACTCTGACATTTATAATATTAGTAAGGATTATAGATTTTTGAGATCGCCTTTCTATCTAGTAGAGCGTCATTTTTTACAGATGATGATGGACTGGTAACCCCTCCTGTGCTATCAGCATACGCTGATGAGGCACCATTGAAAGATGATAGGTGAGGACGAAAATATGTCAGTTAGTAGAAATAGTGACGATATTCACAAGGATTAATTATGATGGTTTCCAAGAGGACCCGTTGCTAACAATGCGTTCCCCCAGTAGGGGGCGTTGACTATACAATATTTACGTGTACAGGATATGACATCATGTTATAGATAGATAACTAACTACTAGAACTAGGCTGGGCGGTGTCCTCTTCTCTTATCGGTACGTCAACGTCTGACTTTCGAGAGCGGCTGGTGGTCGCTTCCACGCCTGAACGGGTCAGCGTCTCCAGAGTGGAAGGGTTGATACGCAAGTATTGGCCTGGGAATAAAAATAAAGGACAATTAATTGTGTACTAAACAAAGAGATTGTACGGTAGTCATCAGCTTGGGTACCTGAGTACCATTCGTGATTATATTATCAATCAGCTATGCTTAGACGGAGGATAGTAGTGAAATTACACAGTAAAAAGGCATAATATTATATTTATTAAGAATGGCAACACATAAGGGCTGCCATTGATGGTACAATGTATGTATGTACTGTGGTATCTATGGTGCTGCTTATGTTACTCTTTAATTTATTTATATTAAGTAAAAAATATATATATTGTTATTTTTTTTAATTTATATTTAATACAGAGTAATACACACAGACAACGGCCGTATTGTACAGAGTAGTACTTAGAGCTCACTAAAAACTACTCTGTACAATATGGTCGTTTGCTGTCTATTTTATTTATATTATTTTCTATTTATATGCAAACCAACAACTTAACTATAATAACAATTGAGGGCCAACTACATGTTTTCACATGTAAATAAATATATCATAAATGAACAACATTATGAAAACTCTATGGTAATAAATCATATTTATTAATTATGACATTTCCTATGTTCTATAAAAAAAATCTCATTCATAATTAACTTTTAAACTTTTTTTAATCTTCCATATCAAATTTATCACATGAGCTGTTGTATGAAAAATGCTAAAGAAACATTTTTACCACTTATGCTTACTAATAATATTATTAATTGCATATAATTTATATGATATCTATATATAACGACATACCAGCGTTGGAAACCTCGACGGAGTGGCGCTGTAGTCGCGGCGAGGTGACGTCATGCAAGCCGCGTGTGACCACACGAGCCCCTTGCTTAGGCAGTTGAGGGTGGAACTTGAGAAAAGCGGCGCAAGCGATCGCGTCGTGAACTATGCCTACAATTATATATTTCACAAATTATTGTACTATTTGGTACACAGATTTACAACTAGACTATCTTTTTATATCTAGCTCTATTACAATTTCCTAGCAATAAGCGCTTCATAACTGTTATACCTTCTTAATCATAAAAATTAATCTAAACCTATTTAAATTATTTTATTTTTAGTTTATTTTTTTTTTACAATGAAAAATTAGCGCAACATTGAATATCTAAAATAGTATTATTAGATATTTAGACAATAACGTCGATTCTGAAGCACTATTTCTCTAAACTTATCCTTTACCTTATATTTTAATTTGATAGTTTTGCAAAATGACTTATTGATGAACCATTATAAACTAATTTTATAATAATTTTGACTTAAATCTATTAAAAATCAAATTTTTTAAATAATTGATTTCGCTGCAATATTAAATTGAAATTTTAGTGTCAGAGATAAGTTTAGAGAAATACCTCAGAATTGATCGCATTGTTATGAATAATGGGGTTACTTAAAAAAAAAACACTTTATAAGATACATATATGTTAATATAAAAGCTCGTACATTGATAAATTTTAGGTTTAATAAAACTTATGTTTTACCAATGTACGGGTTTTTACAGTAACATATAAATATGTATATTTTGTTAGTTTTACACAAATACAGTTATATACCTTCATGCCATAATAAAGCGGCAAATATAGCCCGAAGACATTCTGCTTGGGCTGGACTCAGGGCGTGCTTGCGGGGCGGAGGGGGCGCGGGTGCAGTTCGTGCTGGTAACGGCGGGGGCGATATAGTACGCCTGTACGCGCGTGAGCGGTTTGCGATCCGCTCTCGAGCTATACTTTTCGGGCTCATTCGACCTTCCTATACGTAGATATAAATAAACGCTTATATTTTTTACAAATACTTTCAGCCATGACAAATAATATGGGACTAACAGAGCAGTAAACTCTTTTGATTATTAAAATAAATATCATCTTCGGATTAGGACCCGAACTTTACGAGATATAACGAAAATCACGTAACATACTTAATACGATTTAAGTTTAAAAATGCACCTATATCAACCATAAATTCACTCTTAGTCGTCGAATTCTCTTTACGATCATCATCTTTCACATAGTTCTCATTTCAAACTACTTAGTAAAATAATCCTAATAGCATACCTTTGGTAATCCTATATACATCTGCATAGAGGTAACAGAGACATCCGGAATGTGCTCAGGGGAGGTTTGCGTGCCAGCTTGCGCCAGCCGACTTCCAGTACGGCTCTGGGGGTCGGGTTGCGAGTTCGGCCCTGGCTCTAGTGCTAACTGTTCAGATCGACAGTCGGGATGCGGAGCGGACATTTCCGAATGGTGTTCCGGTTCTAACTTTATTGTTCTGCGCTCAAGCTCCGGTTCTATGTCCGCCTGGTAAGAAAATATATTTTTCTCAAACATGCTTGGAAATATGAGCATTATTTTAACAATCTTCTTCGAGATAAATCAAAACTGCCGTACTGGCCAGTTACATGCGGGCAGCGGCCGGCAAATCCATATCTGTCGTGTTTTGCGGCCAGATACGAGTAAATTACTATGTAAACTCATATCTGTCCTGTAATTTAAAAATGAAACAAGGCTACCAAGGAGGTAACTAATAAACGGTTTTATTTAAATTTCGAACTGGCTTGCAAATAGAAAGCTGTTTATTAAAAAAAAAACAAAGGAACATTATGACGCGTGAAAAATTATTATTGTTCATTGTTTGTTCGATGGACTCACGTATGTGTGCCTCGGCTACGCCTTGGCCCACATATGCACGTTCGTCCATCAATGCCTCAGTTGCTGGTCGCTGTACTATTAATTGAAAAAATTAACATTAATATACAACTATTTTTTCTTTGAAGAATGATAATGAACACAAGACCACAAAGTCGAAAGAGATATTTCTTCGACCTAACCTAGCGATTTATATATTTCTTAGGTCGCTAAAACTGCAACCCATATTGCTCTATCATGAAGATCATTTATATATATACTAATTTATACATATATATATACTATAGAGATACTCTACCAGCTAATCATTCCATACTAAAGAATGCCATATGGCATTAAGCCCGCGATTTGTACAAAGTTTTATTGTGCAATAAAGAATAAATAAATGTATGTATATACTCGTATGGTGCTAATGCTTTGTAAATTATATAAATAACCGCAACCGCAGTTAAGCTTTGGAGATGTTTTAAGAGGGATGCTGCTGCCCATCCCTCGCCCTCCCTTAATCGCCTCTTACGATACCCACGGGACAGAAAGGGATGGCCTATTTTATGCCAGTACCACACGAGAAGTTACAGAAAAACAATTTTTTTTTTAATATTATTATAGATAACAAAGATTTTTTTATGTTATAATGATACGTAAGCAATAGGTATAAGATGTATGAACATACTTGTAATAACAGGGGGGGAAAGGGATTGTTAGTAATGGAGACTGAGAATCCCATTGCTAGCAATATACCCAACCAGGTCGACCTTCTCGCGGTTCTCCCTGGAAACTATTATGGTTAATTCCTGATGAATTCATCATGATGGGCTAACTTTCTTGCTTGGCTTGTTTTCATTCTCATCTATTACCCTTCACTGGTGCTCCGCCAGCGTATCCCGTTAGTGCAGCCGGGGTTACTATACCATTTTCACCCATAAAAAAAACAACTTGTAATAACATGTACCTACCTCAGGTATGGTGTTGACGTTCCGAACATTGTCACTAAGCCGGTGCATCGGTGAACACCATTCATCACTGTTGCCGTTGCTACGCCGTAGCATACGTCTGAAAAGCAGCCTTTAAATCTTGCTCTGATAATCACATATGTACTTAACACAATTCCGAATAACGCCATCTAGTTTACAGATGACGAACTAATGATTACAGGGCAACATTTTATTTAAGGGATATTATATGATTACAAAGTAGTGGTAACAAATTTAGATTCGCAATCATTTGATATGTAAAACAATGACTGTTTCTAGACATTCCAAAGAATTAAATCGTAGTGGGTGTGTGCGTGTGTATGTATGTATGTATATATACACACATACATATACATATACATACACACGAACAATATAATTATATGTATAGTACACATGAATGCTTCTACCCGTTCTACAACAAATTCACACCACCCATATTATTGTAAATATGTATTATTGGAGTTGGTGACTATAGGACACCACGAGGTAATCAACTCCCGTTGGGGGAAAGTAATTGTTAATAATGGGATCTAACAACCCCTTTACTAACAATATGCCCTATCAGGTCGACCTCCACGTGGTTCCCACTGGAAACCATCGTGGTTAATTCTTGTGAAATTCGTCACGATGGGCTAACTGACCTGTCTTTTCATCTTCACCTATCATCACTCACTGGTGGCCCGCCAGTGTATACCATTAGCGCAAGCGGGGTTACTATTCCATCATCACCCATTAAAAAAAATCAACTCCCGTGGGTCGGACTGTAGTATATAAATAAATAAATATTTCAACTGTTTAATCAACTTTTTAGAATTTCCAACTCAAATATATACATTAGTTAAAAAATCATAAAGTTTGACAATGTTTTAATAAATGAAATTTGTAAAATAATATTACTTGGGCGATGAGCATGCTTCATTTCGTAATACCCTCTCCAATTTGCTTGGTTCGACACCAAACATAAACGGGCTCGACGCTCGGTCACCCTGGAACAACACCTTTTATAATATTAATTTAAAAAATAAATTGTAAACATTAAAAAAAAACACTCGACATCATTTAAATCATTCTTTTTTTAATAAAATTTGTATTTTTTTTTTGTACAACTTAGAATGGCAAACAAGCTGACAGCCCACTTAATGGAAAGTGGTAACCATCGCCTATAGACATGAACAGTACCATGAACATAACAGAGTATACTGTTTCGTCCATGATACCCCCTATGCGTTGCCATTCCTGAGGACTCAGGTGTTATTCCTCTGTACCTGTAAATTCACGCCAGTATGAGACCAATCTGAAAGTGTATCCTTTCAGATAAAAAAAGACTTTTCCAAATCGATTTATAAATGACAAAGTTATGTGGTAACATAAAAATAAGACGTAATTGAGAACTTGCTACTTTTTTGAAGTCGATTCAATAGGTATCTGCGATAATACACAACGCCAATTGTATGACTAAGTTGTAAGAAATTCTAAAGAAATCCAAATAACATATACAAGACAATTGTATGTTTTAATATGTAAGAAATTATAAAGAATTGGGATAAGGCCCTCACTGTTTTCTCTGTGTACCTAATCTATTTCTTGTAATTTCTGTTTCTACTAATTATCGTACAGTAGTCTTTAAGGAGAAATAATAAATATATATCTGAAATAATTAAAAAATGCTATTACAACAGCAGGACAAAACAATTTCTCATTTGTCGTATGACAATTTTTTTTCTTAATTTAACTTGTTTGTGATACCTCATTAGTGACATCAGCCAACACACAGAACGGGAACCTCCTGTCGTAGTCATCCGGACACGTCAGCTGATCTGTACAGAAGATTATTTATTTATTTATTAACCTTTAATACACCTAAAAGGTGTAAATGATTATGCACCATATTATATTATCTACCAGTCGACCGTAGACAAGAATAACACAAAATGTAACTGACGGTGCAACGTTATGAACAATATTAAATTAAAACAGTAAATAAAAACATACATATAATACTCATATTACCAACATTATGTATATATATATGTACATTATACGTACATACATATATACATATTATATAATAATAAATAATATTAAACTATAAACCACTCAGATACAAGAAAAACACCAACATTAGCGGAAGCAGCATTACAATTTTATGAAATTTCGCATAAAATCTTCAATTAATAATATTAATAATAAAACTACAAACAAAAAAATAATTATATATAAGGATTTTGGAAATATTAATGCATTCATCCTATCATAATAATGATATCGAAAACTATGCTACTACTATATATGATACTATAGCATATTGTAAATTGTTGGTACGTTCTCTCTCAGATGCTTTTTTTTTTGTTACCGTACCCTACAAACTACAACAATAAAGTTTATTACTTTCAAAGACATCTTGACGATTGTTAAAAGATAATAACAGGATTTGTTATATATATATATATATATATATATATATATATATATATATATACATGTACGTGTAGAGAAGAAAACATCTGAAAACCGCATCCAATTTGGTGCACTAGTTTTTACGTAATTCTGGGACAAAGATACAGACAGACAGACACAAATTTTATAAAAAATATTGTTTTAATTTCTTTTAACCTTATTAAAACTACTCATATGACATACAGATATTAAATATCTCCCATATATAAGACAGAATGTACAAAAAAAAAAAGAAAAGAATTAGGAAGCTCTTACCGCTCGTTCCGACTTCGATGTCTTCCTCGTGCGTCCACGAGTGAATGTCACCCTGAGCGTCTCCATACCCGCTCCACAATCCCGTATATTCCAGTTGCTATTAAAATTATTACAAATAATTTAATTTTTTTACCTATCCTCACGCTCACGCCAAGTGCCCTGCGAGATTGGCAGAGAGAAGCAAATGAGCAGGTGACAAACAAGTATACGGCCCACGTCATAGTAAATGGTTACCGTAGCCTATGAACACCTGCAAGCCCAGGGGCATTACGGATTTTCCAAGAGACTACAACATGGAGTTCTTCAAAAGAAGGGTTAAAGAAATTTCTTCAGGATCGACATGCTCCTGGTATTGCAGGCGTTCATAGGCTATACCTTGCCATTAGTTGGGCCGTTTGCTTGTTTGTCACCTCAGTGGTATAAAAAAATACTGATTTGTTTCAGAAAAATATTAAGTCAAAATACAATGTGCCATGATATATCAACTGGTTATAATATAAACGTATTTAACAACCGACTTCAAATAGAAGCACGTTCTGAAATTGGTAATATTTTTTTATGTTTGTTACCTCATAACTCAGTCAGTTCTAAACCGATTTGGTAAATTCTTTTTTATCTGGAAGTATATACTTATAATAATCTATAGGATCAATGTCCTATAGAAATTTTATAAAAATCGGTTCCATGTTTAAGTTTGAAAATCAAAATAACTGAGGGCCTACCATGAAGTGTTTTCCGAAATTTCGGAGCCGAATAAAACAGAAATTTGGTGTTAAAATTACATAATACTTACCGTTTAAAAAGATTAAAAATATTATTCCTTGGGACTTTTATGGTAGGTTTTATGACGAACGAAATGTTAAGCTTCATTTACTGGCCCGATTTAGGTGTGAACAAAAACACGAAATTGAGTCCGAAACTTCGGAATTTCATTTCATGGTAGACCCGCTGATTTTTTTACAATTGAAGTCGATTCTTTTTTTCTTAGTACAAAATTTTTATTTACTATCCCTATCACAGCCAAAGCCAAAAAACAAAGCCTTACAAATATATCCCTCCCTCTCTGTTTCCCTGAATACAAGCATATATGTTTCTTTTTAATAAGATAAAAATAGAATAGTATCCCCGCCTGCTTTTATCGATATACACTAGCAGGGTACCAGTGAGTGATGATAAATGAAAAGTAAATCAGATTAGTTGGCCTATGGCGAACTAACTAGAAATTAAATTAATACAATTGTATATGTTCACACATATTGAAGTAAACAGTGTTTTTTTTTAATAGATGATAATGCAATGGTAACCCCGCCTGCGCTTACGGTATACACTGGTGGGGCACCAGTGAGGGATAATAGGTGAGATTGAAAAAGCAGGTCAGTTAGCCCATCGTGACGAATTCAATGATAAATTAGTCACGATGGTTTCCAGGGGGAACCGCGTAAAGTTCGATCTGATAGGGTATATTAATAGCAATGGGGACAAACCTCCCCATTACTAATAATCCCTTCTTCCTCCCGGGCGTGCCATGTTAACGTAGACAATGTGTACCGGTATAGGACTGCACGGCTCAACAGGCACAAGCAGCGCTCTGTCTAGATGGCGGTGGTGTTGCAGGCACCACGCGATCTCAGCGCCGCCGTCCGTGTACGCGCGCGCCGATTCATCACTCAAACGGACCCATGTGCCGTCCTTGTTCACTAACTGTACGAACATTATTCGGTCTTTTAAGGGAGTGTTCTAACAATGAAACTGAACTTTTTTCTCAAAGTAATAAGACTCAAAAAATAATTTACAGTTAGACCACTTTCTTGGTATGGAAACAAACTTTTTTGTCGTTTTTTTGCTCTTATATGTACTATATATGTACATACTCAATAAATAGTATATATACTATATATACATAATAAGTAACGTATTTATATCCTACTTCATATGAGCAAAACCGCAATTTACAGATAATCTTTATAGCAAAAGCTTTAAATATATAGTTGCCAATATTTTAATTATATATAATAACAAGTTACAATATTAACAAAAATAATAGCAAATCTATCATACTTTTCTCCCACATTTTCATGTAAAAAATCACAATATAAGTATATTCCTAATCATTTTAATACAATATGTACTTTATTCGCCCAAATACAATGAATGCTTTATGAAATAATATGAAACTTACAGACATTTCCCATTGCGATTTATTTTACAACTCTCACCTCTTCAACGAACGCTACATTAGCACCAGGCGGGACGCGACCAAGCTCCTCAGCTTGAAGACTAGGGCTGGCCCTCACCCGCAGCCCCGCACTGTACTTGGCGATGAACCGCCGCAGTTTTGGCGGTGGCGCCGGTTGTATTGTGTCCCCCGCTTGCACCCCTCGCTCTTCAGGCACTTCTATTGAGCCCTCTGCCACTTCTACGGTCAGTTCCTTTAAAAGAAAAACACAAAAAAATTATATCAGTCTAAGCAAAAATTTATATTAATACCATACCATATCTTATTGCTTTAATTTTCCTCTATTCAATAATGCATCGCCTACGTATTTCTCTGTTTGCCCAATGGTTGACTGGTAGAGAACACCGTCAGATATTAAGTCCACCAAATGTGCATAGAATCTTACTGTGCATTAAAGTTTAAATAAATAAATAAATATCAGTCGTTAATTTTCCACTGTTTAACATAAGCCTCCTCCTATTGGGGGGTTTTACAGTAGTTGCTACGCTTGGCAAAGGGGTTGGCAACTGAGGTTAGGCCTTGGTGATGTTTTAAGAGGGACGCTGTTGCCCATCACTCGGCTACTAAGTTCCCTTAGTTGCTCCTTACGACACCCACGGATAAAAAAGGGTGGCTTATTCTTCCTGAGACCACACGGCATAAAATAATTTTAAAAACTATTAAAACATGTAATTAATTTTTGATTAACTTTTAAATTTATGCCGAGTATAGACTTATGCAAACAAAATGTAGGACGACCCCCCACTAAATAAAGTGACGACTTTAAATGTATTGCAAGGAGTCAGTGGATGCAGGTGGTTTAGGACCGTTCCATATGGCAGTCTAAGGAGGAGGTTTATGCCCAACAGTGGACAGATAATGGCTAAAATGATGATGATGATAGGCTTATGTCCAACTATAGGATAATGATGGAGCATATAGAAACCAGAGGCAATTTGCACGTCTACAAGTGAGGTTACCTCTATCTTACACTTAGTTCTGCTACCAAGCAACTTAAGATCGTTATGCGCCAGACTTGGCAAAACGTCATTGATTCTTCTAGTGTTGCAATAATTCATACTCATGGGGGTAATAATTTTGATAAAAATTTTAACTAAAGAGCATACAACTTAAAGTAAAAGCGGTAGCAACTAACCTGTGGGGCAGGCTGATCGTCGAGGGTGCACCTAAAGACGTAGACGCCAGGCGCCCGTGGGGTCCACACAGCTACATAAGATCCGTCGGGCTGCGAACGCACCGGTAGACGCTCAGTGGGCACTCGGCCACTGCTCGAGAGGCCAGCGCCTGCGCACGATCCACCCCATTGTCCACTCAAATACCGTAATTCCTCGAAGGAGTAAATTTGAAACGGCTGTTGAAAAAAACAGTGATTTAAAAAAAAGTTTACATTATGGGACATAAGAGTGTCGTGTTATACTATCCTCACTTTAGAACTCAAAGGTCATAAATAAGTAAGAATTTTGCGTGACAATTTAAATTTCCGACGACCTCTCCGATAATGAAAGGAGGCGAATTAATCCAAGTGATGACGGTGGACTCTCTCCATGTCATATTTAATTATAATATTCTCGAAGTAATATGGGAATGTCGAGTATTACGTTCACCACAAAAGTGTCAACAAATAATTCAGACTACTTACTCTATTAGGGATTCTAATCGTGGGCTTATTTTTTACATTTCTGATTGCAACGCAACGGGGTCATTTTAGTAGTTCTACTTTGATTGACCTAAAGTAAACAAAGATAGTTAAACCAACCTTCATCATGGTGATAGCATGAAAACACATGGTATCCCGCATTGTTGGCTGATACGAGACGTCGGGCAGGCTACCACGATGACTTTCTGAACTTCGACTGTGACGTGGGTTGGTTTCTTCCATACGTTGTACCACCACCTTAATATTAAACAACATGTAAAGTACTATTAACACAGCATTAGAAAAAAAATCCTTAAAATATGCTGTTATTCTCAATGAGCCAACTGCTTCGTTGAAGTGGACATTTTTTGTTTAACAAAATCTTTAACAATTAAATCGTAAAAAAATTAATCTACATATATAAATTTTTACATATTTTATTTCGACTTCATTTGGAAACCTTTCCTTCTATTTCCTTCTTCTCTTCTATCATGCATATGTTGCTGCTTCTCAAGGCCATAGGTAATTCATCAGACTAAGTTCAATAAAATGACAAGCCAGAATTATTTATTAAACATTTTTTTTTTTAGATAGAAGGGTAATAGAGAAGCGTTTTTATCATCAATTGCATTGCATAGTATACTATTAAAAAGATTGCAGTCCCGCGTTGAAAAATCTAATAGCGTCGTGAAATTTGTAAAGTCCTTCCCATACATGACCCCGCCACTGCAATGTGCATGGCTAAAATCACTCATGAATTCGTAGCCTTACACTGCAATAGCAAGACTACGTCACACGCTTTCGTGATAGATTCATTTAGTCAAATGATCAGAGTAATGATAACATGGTTCGCGGGAGTCAAGGTCGTGTGCGTGATCATGGAAATTAATATAAATTAACCTTTTTCGCACTATGTAGTGTAACACAAATTACCCAGGTAGCGTTTAATTGTATGATTTCTCTTCCGTTTCATCCCTGACTTTTTATGAGATGGTTTTATACATACAACATATCATTATTTTGAGTATTAGATCGACTTTAAATAGATGCTACTTGTTAATATTTGTTGGCTCTAAATTAGGCTTAATATAACCTAATTTATTCAGACAATTTTAATTTGCAGCTCCTAGGTTGAACATTTTTAGAAACATAAAAAAACATCATTACAAATGCTTTTGTAGGAGTTTTTTTTTTTATAACATAGGGGGCAAACTGATGGTGATTGTCGCCACTCATATGCATGGCGCGCATATGCACCCGCAACATCAGAGAAATTGCAAATGTATTCCTGGCTTTTTAATAAGGAATATTCCCTTATCTTAGAGGTTTCAGTGTCGCATCTGTTCACAGACATTGCTACTGGGAGTTGGATTCACACTTTGGTTAGGCGTGGTAGAGAATGCCTGCAGATACGCATAGTGGAGGATCGTACAAGCAAACGATTCCTCTGAACAATCCCCATATGTTTAAAACTTTTGTAAGATCAAAGCACGTAATTTATAAGTGGCATGCTTAAAATTATACGTATTAAGTAAAATAATATATTCTGCAAATATATTTATCAACATGCTTAGTTAAATAAATAATTATTACATCATATTGATCTTCATTCAAACACAAAAATTCGTACAATTCATTTTTTATGACATATTTATAGTGATTTATTAATAATATATAAATAACTCATTACACTGAAATTAGAGATGTGAAGCAATAAAAAGTGCAGTCTATTCTATCTATTCTAATATATATATATATATATATAATAACAAATTTTATTTATGGCTTTCTCTTATAATATATAATAAAGAAGCAACTATTGGTTCAAGGCAACGAAATTGTTTTACTTTATTCGTAAAATACATATGTCTCGCACATGCGATGTCACTCTATACTATATTGTCGTGAATGTTATATAATAGCTTCGATTTCCTGTTACTGACACATTGAGTAACTATAATAGAATACGTATTATGTCCTGTCCTCGTAATAATTTGGGAAAATCTTTTCCTATAGTACCTGTGTATAGTTCATAGTATTATTATTATAGTATATTGTATAGTAACCATTACCTGCAGCCGGAGGGGAAGAAAGGATTATTAGTAATGAAGTCTAGCAGTTTTCTTGCTAGTTACACACCTTATCAAGTCGAGCTTGGAAGCTTTTTTTTTACAACACAGGGGGCAAACGACCACCGCCGCCGCCCATGGTCACCCACAACATCAACGGCGTTGCAGGTGTGCTGCCGGCCTTTTAAAAAGGAATATGCACTTTTCTTGAACGTTATGTTGTCGTATCGGTTCGGAAATACTCTTTGGAATAAATTTCCAGCAGCATGGTTGTACGTGGGAGAAAGTGCCTTGAAAAACGCATGGTGGAGGACCGCCACTCGTCCAGATGGTTAGGATGAAATTTTAGTTTATGGCGAGTTATACGATGACGGATAAGCTACTGTGGTGGATTCGCGGTGAATTTGTCGCGAAAGACCAATTGATCTGGCTTCATTCTTATCATCCCTCACTGGTGTAAGAAGAGTGTGGAAGGTAGGGTTACGATCACAATTTCATTAATTAAATCCTCCCAAAACGAAGCTGTTCCTCAGAAAAGCATGTGCATAAATTCTAGCTTAATCAGTCAGCAAGAAGCTGAGGGTAAACTAACATCTCAGTTCCTTAAAATCAGTTTATTAGTTTGCGTATACTGCATATTGTATTTATTTTTGTATTGTATTGTATACGTGAATATTACAGGAAAAATAAGGTTTTTATCTAGCACCACTTTTGATTAATTATCATCAATTATCTCACCCTTTAAGGTAGATATTTTCAAAAAATTCAATACTCAAGCCGGCTTTATTCGAATAGACTTGTTTACAAGCACTTTTAAAAATGTGTCCCATGCTTATTTATTTATTTCTAATCAACAACTTAGCTTGGCCTTCTGCCTGCGGCTTCATTAGCGACAACTTTAGTCATCGCGCTGCTTTCCAGTGAAACTTTTCTTACTGTAAAAAGCAACTTGTCCTTCTGAATACTTTAGCATTCTAATAGTTTAAGAATTATTAAAATTGGTTTAGCAGTTTCAAAGTCCCTCGAATATAAAAATATTAATCTTTACTTTTTATAAACTTAATATAATTGCAACAAGTATTTATTATTACTCATGTACGGGAAGTATAGAGATTCAAACCTTATAATCACTATAAACTACATTTTCTACCCATTTTTACACATGAAATAGACGCAAAAGCTAGAAATACCTCGCCCCTCTTAGCCGCACACGCTATACCCTGCCAAGATCTTGCAGTGCATGTATGCATTAGCGTGTTTTAAATTCTAAGGGGTGCCTGCAACCTTAAAAGGCGCACATATACGAGTACTATCAAACACGTCTTCACGAAGCTTTTCTTCGTCTTCCTAACTTAAAACAAATTTATATACTATTTTTCATTTAAATCAAATCTATATAGCGATAGTGCGATAGGGAATCGCACTCACTCAGGGGTATAATTTAAAAAAAAAAAACTGCTGAGAAACACTTCATAGTATTCGTATAGATATACATATATTAAAGATTACACTACATACACAATTAAGGAATTTTGTCTACCCTATTTAATATAAATAAATCGAGCAGGTACATATTAAAGAGACATGCAGTATAAAATACGTGATAACAACATAACATTACAACCGTTTGAGTTCTGTCGCACAAACGACACGTGACAATAAGCTATAATACGAGGTAATCAAACGGACAGACGGTCTGGACGTATTGAATAGGTAATAGCGAAAGCCGTGATAAGCGATAGAGTGCAATTGTCATCTGACATAGATTTTGTCGTTCTTTGCTCCCGGGGCACGTGGGCGGCAACGTAATCGTCCTGTAGAGTAGTTCTCCAACATGAACGTAATAAAAACATATTAGATTTGAACACTTATTACTATCGATACAAGATACAAGATTTGCTCTGCTTTTTTTTTCCTACAACTTGCAATGGTAAATAAACTGACGGACGGCTTCTTTGATGGACAATAGTAACTGTCGTTTATAGATAAGAACGGTATCATGAACACAGAATAGGTTGCGACTCCTGGGATACCTGCTGTTAATTTACATAAGAATACGTTGTCATTCCTAAAGGACTAAAAAAAAGAGACCGATTCAGTTCAGTTCTTAATAGTCGCAAGACAACTAACCATTAATCATCTACTTTTATGGTTTAAACATTGAATTTTTTCTTTTTTAGAATACGCAAAAAATTATAAAATATATTTCGAACTTGGTAATCAGATAGATTAAAATTATACAGAAATAAATAGTTATTTTAATGACATTTTAACGGCATAATTACTTATATCACCAAAAATGACATTCAAGAGCAGAATTTACTTAATTATGGTATATACATATGAAGCACAAAAATATAACATACTAGTGTCGCACTATAGGCTACCGTTTAACACCAGGCGGGTTGTAAGCTTGTTTGTTTCCTTAATAATATGGTATAAAAAAAATTATATACCTCAACTTTTAAAGCAGGTGACGCAACGATCTCTCCATACTGATCACGGACGGTGATTGGCAAGGTGGACTTCGCCGACGGCCGCGGCGGGGTCGCTGGCGCCTTCATCTCGCATTTGGAGGGTTCTACTCGGGAAGTCGGAGCTAGCCAACGGGCCAGGCGGCCGCCGGCCGTACTCTCGGCGCCCGCCACAAAATCTGACAGGAACTGACGCTCGGTGGAGATGCACCTGTTGAAAATAATAGTCTTAGATTATATAGATAGACTTTACCAGTTTTTTTTTTTTATCAAACTACAAAGTGCTTTCTCTCAGTGTTGCAAGTAATTAGGTTAAAAATTTCCCAAATCAAGTTGAATTTGGAACTATTTTTCTGATATGCATATACATATATACATATTGCTTATAAATTAATATACATGTATTAAAATGGCGGTCTTTTTGAAATATTTAAAAACGAAATCATATTTTATGCCTATACTTATATTAGTAAAGACAAGCGTCATTTCAAATGCACTGTTTATTTTGTTCTTTCAAATAGATTCGTAAGAATTTTGTTTCGTTCCTATTTTTCACTTTAAACTTATAGTATAAATTTCTCACACATACTTAATACAAACAGTAATACTGGTAATGATTTAAATTCGACCTCTTTATAGCGAAGTATTTGTATGGAAACAATCTATACAATCTAAGATAACAATAAATAATAATAATAAATTCCTTTGTAAATTATTAAACTGAGCGTAGCGTATGTACTGTGGATACTGGACAGCTTTTTTGTCAACACCTCTCGCATATATTATACGTAACACCGGGGGGCGCCATGTTGATGACGTACTGGCAGCTTTTACAAAAAAATTCTATAATCATAATTTTTTCTATTTGTAATTTTGTATTATACGCACTAAAAGTTCTGCGTAACTTATGAATAAAACAACATAAAATCAAAGTATTGCATTTATTATTAATCGAATTTAAACATTTTTTCATTTTTTTATACAACTTAGAATGGCAAACGCGCTGACGGCCCACCTGATGGAAAGTGGTAACCGTTGCCTATAGACATGAGTAGTACCATAAACATAACAGAGTATACTGTTTCGCCCATGATACCTCCCATGCGTTGTCATTCCTGAGGACTCAGGTATTATTCCTCTGTACCCTGTAAATTCACGCCATATCCCACCCTTCAAACCGAAACACAGCCATGCAAACACAACTGCTTCTCGGTTGAAGATCTTAAATATGTAGCATGATGGATAGATTACAACCATCCATCCTGGTCGACATTTTTGGAGGTTAAAATTGAGTTTTTTATTGGCTGTGTGTGAAGTCATGGTACAATAGTAGGTGACTTCTCGGTCGTCTCTGATTTTATCTAGAACAGTAAATAAAAAAAAAATGGTTTACCACTCAGCATTAACACTCCTTTGATCCTTATGTAAAACTTTGCCAACAAGACCCGTTGGAGGAACAAAAATGCATTATCTTTTATCCACGTTCCTCGCTCGCTTCAATTTTGTCTCACCTCTGTTTGAAATACCCAATCACATGATTACTATTTTGTTTTTTTTTTTTTTCCTAATTTAAAACAATATATATCCGCACTTCGCCTTCTGATACTCTTTAATTAACTGCATTTCAATGTCCGTAGTTATATCTACTTGTATTTAAGCAACTTCTTTAAGCAACATTCGTCCCAGTCTATGAGGGATACAGTGACAACAAAGTTTTCTAACTTTTAATTTGTTATAATTTTTTTTTTATCTGATTCATTCCCTGATGTTTCCGAATAATTTTGCATTTTGTCTGATTCCTTTTATGCATTTATTGTGTCTGATTTGCGCCATCTACCTTTCTCTCTGTACTTATCGATTCTTAATGCCAGGTTGTCTGTAAAAGATTGCTTTTAGCGATAAGGCCGCCTTTTGTATATGCACATTCTGTATAAATACTTCCTTGTATACATCTCTACTGAGTGCAATAAAGAGTTTATTATTATTATAATCTCATAGATAATACCATTTCCATTTTCTTTCCTTAACCTCTCCAACGTGGACATCTTTTTTTTAGTAGCATTCAATAACGATCTCCACAAATGTCGCCATTTAAAGAAACTCGTCCACGGTAAAATTAGCGTACCATCGCCTTGCAGTAATTAGATTTGCAGTAATAGATAGGCATTTGGAAGCCGAGCGATAAAATTTTGAAGAAAAGATCACTTTTAAAATTATTGTTCAGCTATCTTTTCCCATTAGCTCCATTTTTATTTCACTCGACAAACTAAAATGTGTGTAAATGAAAAAATCCCGTCATTTTTTTCTAAATAACTAATAAAGTTTTATAATATACAAATGTATCATTCTAAAATTAAACAGTCGTGATAAAATAGAAGTGTAAACATATTAGTATGGTTCGTGTACAATACATAAATAACACAAAAACCACATACAATAAGACGTACTCAAAAATGCATATACTTGTATTGTACTGTACAAGGAAAAATCCATAACGACGAGAAGATAAGACACATTGTAAAACTGATGACACTGATAGGCAAAACCCCCTGTTTAATAATTATTCAGGGCAATAAGTCTTTTGCAAACTTTTACATTTATAAATACAGCTAAAAATTTACTCTGTATACGTAGAAACATACATAAACATATACACATATGATATGTTTACGTTACAGTGACTGATTGTAAGAGTGTGTTATGTCACATTTGTAAAATTCGATACGACCTCATCTGATAGAGTGCTACCTTAAGAGAGAGGATTTGAGGTAGGCGCTGGCTTCCCTTGAGACTACTGACCCAGATTTTACATTTACAATTAAGTCTGTATCGTAAACATTAAACTAAAATAGATTAAATTGGACATGAGTTTTGAAACATTTCCTTCCTTACCTTCCCTCCCTCCCTTTTAAATGTCTAATACAGGCGTTACGTCATTCCAACAGATTAGAACCTACTATTATTATTAATATTATTTTTTTATATTCAACATTATAGATATAATTAGCTAAATAATAAATTATAACCAATTTATTAATTTATATTAAACAAGCTTTGTGTCCGTTATTTCGTGCGCGTGGATTTGAGAAGAAGAAAAAATTATGAAACAGACCACGTAAAAGATGGTATACATTTTGCCATCTTTTAGGTAAAATTCCTAAGGAACACAACTGTAAAAACTACAAGCTATTTAGTACAGTAGTTTTCGTGTGATACTGGAACAAACATAAAGAAGAGAGATAGACGAAATTTATAAAAAAAAAAATATTAATTTGACTTTTACAACTCTTAAGACCTCTTATATTACTTTTCCTTAAGTATCTTCCATGTACGGACACCGCCTACTTACAATTTTATTACATATATTATATGAGAAATGAGATAATAAAAAAAATAAAATAAAATAAGTCAATACACACATTTTCTAAGTAGGGTATTGTTAGAGACAGCAAATAAAGAAACACGAGGACCCGAGTCAATTTTGAAAATAATCTTTCCTAAAATAGTCTGAATGGGAATCAAAGCCGGGACCCGATTTGAATGAAACAACAATGCCCTATAGAGATCCTCGATAATAGAGTCAACCTCTGGCATTATTATAATTATTTACCGGTTCAGTTTTGACAGTTGAATTTGATGTGCGCGTGCTATTTATCAAGAAAAAGGATATTTCGTATCTCAGTCAAATAATACGTTCCGATCATGCGAAGAAGATAACGCCAGAAGTCACACACATAGCTAGAAGCTAGACAAAGAATTTTCTCTTATTGCCGAATATAGACAAGTATACAATCACCAAGCACAGATAAATAACTATGAATTCATTAAAAGTTTATAAAAAACCGTTGACCTTATAACGCCTGAACAAATCCTCATAAATTTTAGCTGAGAACCATCTCGTTCACGTTAGCTTTCAAACAAAGAAACCGCATCACAATCGATCCATTCGTTTAGGAGCTACGATAACACTGACAGACTCACAAACATGTCAACCTTATAACACCCCTGTTTTTGCGTCGGGGTTTCATAAAATCGTGCACCGATAATCCCTGTACGATGTAACTAATTAACAAAGGATTTTGCAAAACCCACGGAAACTTATGAACTTCACGATAAGTTTCCGAGTAAAACCGCGATGTTTACTTCTTGGAATACGACAAAGTTTCTTCTGACATTAAATGGATATTTATAACTATATCGCTTGTAATTCGATATATTATTCTTTATTGTACATTGTGCCAAAAATCTTAACAGTATAGCTGGTCCGCAATGTTACTTCACCTTCCAATGATTGCGGGTTTAAACCCCGCACAATGCAAACATTTGTTTAGTCCGTTTCAATGGAACTTAATGAAAATGCAAACAAATGAATAATTGAGTGGACCGTAAGACAATGACTGATGCTGATGTCCAATAATAGCACAAATCAAAAGTCAATCATTTGTTACAAATTTCATTTAGTGAGTGTTCCTGTGACGCGATAATTTCGACAAAACTTGGATATGTCAGTTTATGTGGCTCGAAGAACCGACAACCGATCAGGAAGAAAAGTTCTTGAGTGGCGACCCTATCCGGGCAAACGCAACGTAGGACGACCCCTCACTAAATGGAGTGACGACTTCAAATACATTGCACGGAGTCAGTGAATGTAGATAGGTCTATGTTCAGCAGTGGACGAATAATGGCTGAGATAATGATGATGTGTAAGGTGTTTTTGTATTTAAAAAATATGCCTCTAACTAGCGCATTAGGGATTATAATCATATTTTTTTTAATATTTACCTAATTTATGCAAACTTTATATAAATTGAGACTGGACTGCATTGTGTGACATATCCAAGATTTTATTTTTTATTGCATGACTAGCTTTTACCCGCGACTTCGTCCACGTGACTAGTATATGTTTACTGCCCAAGATAAAAAGTAGTCTATGCCCATCTCCATACCACATACTAGTAGTACGTGTATACTAATTTTTATAGTAATTGGTTAAACAATTAAGGCGCTAATAGGTAAGAAACAAACTCACTTTCACATTCATAATATTAGTAAGTATATCTGATAACCCTAATTGTATGTCCGTGCTGTATGAAAGACTCAGATTTGCGTAGGCGCAATTGGCATAATGGGTGTCTCAGGAGCGAGGGAGACTTCGATTACTGGCGAATTTAACTCTAATATAATAAGAACAATTTTGTCCTTATAAAACAGACATTCTGATATTATTACTGCCAAATTATGAATTGAGCTTTGCTATAAAAGCAAACATTGATAATGGAAGTTTTCTTTCTTAGTGAGTACGTATAACGTATTTGAAGCCAGGGGAGCTTTTTTAAAGGGGTTTTAACAGCGCAATTGCTAGCAATATACCCTATCAGATCAACCTTCACACGGTTCCCCTTGAAAACTGTTGTGGTTAACGTTATCACAATAGACTAACCGACCTGCTTTCATCCTCATCCAACATCCCTCACTGATGCCCCGCCAGTATACAATATACCAATAGCACAGGCGGGGTTACCATTCCATTTTCACCCATAAAAAAAAAACATATTTGAGTAACAATATTCCCAGAAAGATTTAAAATTCAAGTATACACGTGGGATATATGGAATACAATCATTATAATATGCAATGTGGATGTAGTCAATAACTGATTAGGTACTCAAAAATGTAATTCTCTCCAAGTGATAGGATTAACTGCAAAGTACCACAATAATATGGGTAAATAAAATGAGATTTATTCGTAAAAACATAACTGTAGTTTCTTAACTAATATTATAGTTTTAAAAGGATACAGTAGTTGTGGTTTTAGAACTAGGCTCCTAAATAGGTTAATAAATAAGCTGTGTTAATAAGAATGGCCGTAGTTCACTCATCACATACAAGATTTCTATTTATAATATTGATTTTCTAACGTGACAAAGACATTTATTTACGATATAATTTTTTTTTATTTATTAAATCATTAGTACAAATATGTGTACATGGCGGACTTAATGCTAAAAGCATTCTCTCCCAGTCAACCATAGGGAAGTGTTAGAATACTCGAAAGCGGTACTACTAATTATTGATATACATACATACTAAAATTACATATATAAACGAATAAATATATATGAATAACAAATATACTTACACATATATGACATATACTATATTATACACGAAATTGAGAATAATATAAAGCACTTACAGCAATATCCTATGTAATAAAAAGAAATTACAGATTATGAATATAAGGTTAAAAAAAAAATTATTAAAGATAGTGCGCATTCAACCAAATTATACAGTAATTTCTTACTGATAAGAACTTGTGAAATGTATGCATAATCATCATGTCAGTCGTTAACTGTACACTGCTGAATATAGGACTCCCCCTTAGGGGTTTTGCCAGTAGTTGGCATGCTTTGCAGGCGGGTTGAATGCCACAGTTTGTTTAAAAAGACTCTGCTGCACATCCCTCGTCGTAAGAGTCGCCTCTTACGAGACCCACGGGAAAGAAAGGGGTGGCTCATTCTATGACGGGATTACACGGCTGTACCTTTGGTATTACTTGTGTTAATTTAATTATACTAAAACAAATTCCCTGTAAGAATGTAATTATTATTTACCTTCTTCTTATACTATATATTATATAGATGGAATGCAATATTTTTACTTATATATAAATAATGTTTATTTAAGTAAACTAATATATAATAAGCATTTTTTTAAACTACCGCCCAGTTCGGAATGCAATTTCAGATGAGAAGAACGGGCGAGATGCACAGCTGTTGCTTTTGTCAATTTTTTTTTTACTAGAATATTTTAGTTACCCGCGGTGTTGATTGAATAACAAACCGAATTTTAAGCTTACAACTTTACGAATACAACTGTGAAAACCGCATTCGATTTGGTGTTGCAGTTATTGTGTAATGCCAGAACAAACTAACAGACAGACGAAATTTCTAAAAATTATTGCTGTCATCTATCGATGTTATTAATATTGAAACTTTGTGGCCATAATGTAAATTTAAGTCTGGCCACATAAATTATATATGTTGATATTATTTTTATACGGTTTTTGTTTCTATTAAAATGGATGTCTCGTCTTGTATCTATACGTATTATATAATATACCATATATCATAGGTCTAAAAAATATTATTTTTCACTGTAACTCTCTACAAGTAAGATCACTCATATCAATTTTTATTAAATATCTACCATGTATAAATACCGTCTAGTTACAATTTTATTACATTAGTAAAATAAGATAAAAAAATAACAACTAAGTATGTTACTATCCATTGAGAAGTAAAACCTTTTTTATTATGTATACAAACAAATGTTAAATAGGGTTAACGTTGATCAGCTTCAATAGACTTCTAAGGTCGTGAATTATAATATTACCATATAACACAATAGACGAGTATATCTTATCGATATAGGAACAAACTCAATGGTAATGGGGAACTAGTCTTGGGTTATCAAGACAATGTTACATGGCATAGGACAGCGTGTGAGTGCATCTGTGGCATCTCAGAACGACTCAAAGAGCTAGTACCGAGGTACCCCATATCTGTGTGCATTGAGCTGGCCGTATCATCGATAACTTATCGATATGATGTTTACTGTAAATATATAGTCTATTAAATGATAATCATAATTTCTTTTATCAATAAACGTGTTATTGTCAGATAATTAAGTGTAAATATAATATTTGAAAATAGAACTTAACTTGATAATTAGGTGTTTCATTACCTAATTATTACATACGGGTATAAGAAAGTAGAAGGAAATTTTCTATTTACAAACAACAGTATAACATTATCAAAGTCTTATTTACCAGACGTACTACTTACTACTAGACTTACTTAGACTACTTTGTACAAAAGTCATTTGCTTGAGCACCTTTGTCCCATTCGTGTTTCTGCCGTGAAACAGTTGTGTTTGCATGGCTATGTTTCGGTTTAAAAGATGGAATATGGCGTGAATTTACAGGGTACAGAGGAATAACACCTAAGCCATTGGCGAAACAGTATACTCTGTTATGTCCATGGTACTGCTCATGTCTATAGATGACGGTTACTACTTTCCATCAGATGGGCCGTTAGCTTGTTTACATTCTAAGTTGTATAAAAAAAAAACAAATATTCCGATCATTTACCTCAAGTTAAAAATGCATTAGAATATTTACTGAATCTAGTTCGGTTTTATTAAAACAGAATCATTAAGCTGGTAGACGTGATATATTCATGAAAAATTTAACTATATGTTTCACTGAGATTTCGCAATTTTTTTTTATACCATCGTCAAGTAACTTGTAACAAGCTCATACTTAACAACCATATATTATAAATACCTAACTACTTCGAATAAATATTAGGCAATACTCGGGAATTGACTATCAATACACGTAAGTATTGAAGTATTTAAGTTAATGATTCATTAAGTAGACTTATGTTGAATACATTCTTATTGTTAAAGTAATATCTTAATAATTACGTCATCACGCTTGTAAGAATAGAAGCATGTACGCCCACATAAATGATACAAGCAAACTTAAAAGAATAATATTTATTCATTGTTCTAATATTAATAAATATGGTTATAATTATAAGTTGACATATTAAGATGAAATCATCTAACTTTATCAACACTATGTTTTTTTTTTAAGATTCAGTTACACATTCCGTATCCCCTGGGTGCAAATAAAAATATATGGGGTTCCTCGTGAGACTATCCACTAAAACTTAAAATTCATATAATGTAGCAAGGTCAATGCTTTTCAAGGACTAAATTTTAAAAAGCGCTACGTAAGGGATATTTTGACATTATTTAATCTTTACTTATGTTTATAAAAGCTCAATAATAAAATGTTTGTTTCAAAAAATATCTTTTTCATTGAATAAAGAAAGAAGTATCTAATAATATGTTAATACTATAATATAAACACATTTTACAAAAGTGTATTTAATATCTTAATTATATTAAGCAATTTTTAAGTTATACATAAATATTAAAAAAAAATGAAAGAAGATACTTCATGTTAAAAATTAAGTAATTTTAATGACTGTAAGTACAAACATTATTTTATTAATACTTATTATTTTATTATATTTTTTTATTATTATTACCAAGTATTAGTAACATTATAAGGAATTGTGAAATCATGTTGGCTTCATTCAACCTTAGACAAGGTAAAATCACTTCTCCACCAAATTAATAGTTTAGATACATTATTCGTAATTACCATTATAATGTATTTCGCACAATATTGTAATAATTAACACGTGGAGTGTGAACATAGCCAATTGCCAATATAATCGAATCATCGACATCGATAATTGGTAACGTCAATAAAAGATCAACACTACAACGTGCCGAGAGGCAACAGGCGGCGACCCACAGAGCTAGCTGTAAGCGCGAGCCATTCAGTCAGTCTGTGCATGACTTCCGAAGTGGGCGGTTGGTCGCGCCGAGCGCGGCACCATGTCGCGCCTCCTCGCGTTAATCGTACTTGTCGCGGCGCACACATTAACACGAGCAGAGTTCCAAGGCTTGTGTCAACGAGACTACTGCGAGTGCAACCCAGCAGTACACCAAGCATGGATAAACATGACCTGCACCGTGCCCTCCAATCAGGTACCGAATTCTTCATTCGTTTATGACAAACAAAAGTGATCGAGTTGTACCACATGTGTTACGATTACGCTCTTGGACAGAGGCTGACTAATGACACCTAATAACACAACTTAAATCTCTAGAAACGACTTAGTTTTGAACAAAATATGGTCATTTGATAGCTCCATATTAGTTATTTAACGAAGTTGAAAACTTGTTATTAATGATTTTATAAATGATATTTCAGAAAATGACATTAACTTTTCAGCGTCTCATATCTATTGGCGACACTTCAACTCGTATTATAGAAGTAATTAAAAACGACTTTACACAACAAGGTAGTTATAATATAAACAAATGTCTTAAGGATAATCACATGTTCAATTTACCTACTTTAAAATAGTGGTTTTTAAGAACTTAACCTCCTTATTCATAAAAACTTCAAACCTCACATAAACCTATTTTTGCTATTAGTGTTTTTGTCCTTTTCTTTTGCACTAATTTCTCAGTTTGAAAGACAGAGACAAAACACTTTAATAGTTAAAACAAATTGGTAGTAGATTTTAGTTTTTATGAATAAGGTGGATAATTGTTTAACATTTGTAAACAAATAAGGGGAATCTGGCGAAAAAAATGCATACAAAGAAAATTTACCTGTGGCTCGAACCCCGAAGGTATATTTTCATATTCATAATGTGAATTCTATGCACATCACATTATACCTACATAATGTATACATATTATACATTAGATGTGTAGAGAATTATTAAAAAATTAACTTTATTGAACTATGAGATATATGGAATAACAAACTAGAATGGTTCTAGTACTTGTATAATTTTTGCTGGATCCTCGACCCAAAGGGCCTACTATAGAATATTTTCCATAATTTAGGGACCGAACGAAACACAAATTTGATGTCAAAAGGACATAATACACAGTGTTTAAAAATGTTAAAATATATTTTTTGGACTAAGTATTAAGAAAGGATTTATGACAAACGAAATGTTAAGCTCCATTTATGGGGCCAATTTCGATACGACCAAAAATACGAAATTGAGTCCGAAAATCTGGAATGTTATTACAGAGTAGACCCCTTGTTTTTTTATGGGTGATAATGGAATGGTAACCCCACCCGCGCTATCGGTATACACCGGCGGGGCACCAGTGAAAGATAATAGGTGAGAATGAATGAAGCAGGTCAGTTAGCCCATCGCGACGTATTCAACAAGAATTGTTCACGACGGTTTCCAGGGGGAATCATGTGGAGGTAGACCTCATAGGGCACATTACTAGCAATGGAGCTGTCAAACTCCATTGCTAACAATCTCTTTCTCCCCTAGACCCCCTGTTTACCAAAGGAGAACTAAAAACGTATACTGTGTGCTAACATTACAATCTTATAATCTTGCATGCATAACATGTGAAAGAGACATAATAATATCTTTCATTACTTTTACTTTATTTATTTATTACATTTAACTACAAAGTTAACAATTCTGTCTCATACTCCGTTACAAAATATCATGGTTATTGAACAAATTAAATGTTCAGCGTTTATAAAGATCAACAGGTACCGTTCATGACTATAGACAACAAATACCATTTTCTATCATTTCAAATTGTTTATTACCATAAGTTATATGAAAAAATAAAAACACTGGTGAGGATATAGATGGTCTGCTTGTTTACCATTCTGTGTTACAAAAAATAAAAAAATCAGGCAGGTGCGAGTTGAACTCGAACACCAAAGGTTCCGTACATATGTAGATAAAAGATAAAATACCTGTATTGCAATTCTATAAGAAATAGACACCTAAAAATAGTTATTACTGATACCACAATTCGTAATTTCTAAGTAAGTATATACTATGTCTGGAGCTTTTTTGATAATATCGCAAAAACTGTAGTAGATAAAAACATCGTTTTATTTTTCCTGTAACAATTATATATACCTACCTTTATAAAATGTAATTATTTTAGATTTTTCACTTCACAGACTTCAGAGATGGTGGGGGGCGGGGGGTTCCTTTTCTCATATTTTCGATCATAAGACAAAACTATGCTGATAACGAAAAAAAATTAGATTTAAAATTTACAAATGAAGTCCTTTCATATAATACCCCGTCTGGACCAGTAGGTCTAGTTTGAAATTTTGAGTACCCCAAAGGACTTTTTTTTGCAATAATATAATTATTTCTATTCCGATATATGTGGTCCAACAATATATAAACTATTCAAAATTTCAAATCGATAGCATTAGTAGTTGCTGAGATATAGCGCTTAATGGTTGACAGACGGCCAGAAAAAAGAAGTCGCATCGTAAAGGTTCCTTTATATATTTTTAGTACAGAACCTTAAAAAAGATAACTGAAAATATTGACGATCAGTAAAAATAAAAAAAAAATGGAAAAAAGTAGCTAAAAAAAGGTGACTGGTGATATCTATATATACATAAATCTTTTGTCACGGTGTTTGGGGTCGCACTCCATGACACTGCTCAAAACTGCTCGACTGTTTTTTTTTATGTATTTATTCATTTTTTAAAGTATATTTCATAGCACTAGGTGTTCCCTGTCCAGAAATAATTTCTATGGCAGAACAACGTTTGCCGGGTCGGCTAATAATATATATAAACCATGATAGCGAAATAAAAGCATTAGACCACAGACCACAATAATTAATTCAACGTAACAATTACAACGCACACATACAGGCCAAACATATTTACCATTGTGTGTTACACGATTGCATATTATCACAAGTTAACGGTCTCATTATTCACAGTGCGTACTCGTAGCTCAACTGAACTAACGATCATATCTTTTGTCGATAACTTCTTTGAGTGCATTAGTTTGAATAAAATTGTATTGTCAATGCTGTATAGGAAGGTCAAGAGCATGGCCTAGGATAAAACTGGATAGAGGAGAATGCACAAATCAGTTGTCCCGATTATGAGGAAAATCATATATAAATAAAAAAAAAAAGTAATACATATATTCTAACGTACAGATATTTAGAATATTGTATGAGAGAAATAAAAATTTCAATATTAACCTCTTTATTCATCAAATACTAACGGATTAATACTAATTGACGTAGTATTAGACGGAGTACTGACGGATCTTTATATGTAATCTTTGTCAGATCCGTCAGTATTCTACGACTATGACGAAGTGTCACTTTCATTTAAATTTGGAAAATAGCGCAAAGAAAGAGATATAACACTAAAATTAACTTTAGGTATTTATTATATATTAACGGTCGAGGGACGGCCAGTAAGTGTCCCTCTTAAAACATCATCAAAGCCTAACTGCGGTTGCCAACTCGTGGGGGGTTTTGTAAGTAGTTGCTACGATTGGCAACTACTCACAAAACCCCCCTTTTGGGGGAAGCCTATATTCAGTAGTGGGCAAATAACGGCTGATATAAATTATAGTATTAGATCTAGAATAAAATTTAAAGCAGCTCTGATGCTATAAGAATATACTTAAATTATATTTATAATTTAGAAACATTACGCTGTAATATCAAATGAAAATTTTAAATTACAGTGAATGATGGTTCAGAATTAACTCTCAATGTGTGTATTCATCAGTACATAGTATAAAGTCGCTGCCCGCCGTCTGTACGCTTAGATAAGTATTTTGCGGACACCGCAAAATAATCTGTAATGCCCATAGTACCCTCATATGATATTACCATTCTTTATTTATCTTTACATAATTATAAAACAAAGTCGCTTCCCGCCGTCTGTACGCTTAGATCTTTATAACCACGCCACGGATTTCAATGCGGTTTCTTTATTCTTTATAGTTTAATATTGTTGTATTAATTTGTTGAAATATGACGATAATTGTTCAAGATGTTGGAAGAAATCAAGTCGACTGAAAACTTTCATCTAAAACGCTGCCTAATCCGTTTAGTATAGTAGTTAAGATATAATTTACAAAAAATGTATGGTGAGATTGTTTCTCTTTTAAAGGTTTACAAAAAACTGCGATGGTATATATCTATCTTTAAGTTTTGCTTACTATACCCATCTAATTCATACTCGACGCAACAAACTGATGCAACAAATATATATTCTACTACTCGTGCGAAATTAAGGCGGGTCGTTAGTAACATCTACATTATTGCTGGACATAGGGCTCACCTATAGACTGCCATAAGTAACGGTCCTAAGCCACCTGCATTCACTGACATCTACGAGTACAATAGTCAAATTCCGGTTAAAACAATAATTTCGTAGTGTTTCTCCTTGATATTACCACAGTGTAAGGGGTTTTCACGCAGTGGTTAATCGCTCATAGATATCTGTGATCATGCTACATTCGTCGCAAAGGATGTCACATTTATTTCCAACCAATTTCAAGACGAGAAGATATATATGTATATATATATATATATATATATATATATATATATATATATATATATATATATATATATATATATATATTATTCTTGTCTTCACATTCGATAAAAATATCATTTCTGATTAATTTCGTACTGCGAATTTGACTATTTTTGAATATTCTAAATTCTAAACTAAATTTTAAATTCAACTAAATTCTAAGTACTACGCGACTCAACTTTATTAAATCAATAAGTCAGTTTCATTAAGTTCAGTCGAGTCGCATCGAGTCTAGTAACTTTAGACATGTTTGACTAAATTTGGCCAGTTTATACGAGTTTGGAACCCCTCTTATGGGAGAAGGCTATGTTCAGCAGTGAACAGTTAACTGCTAATATGTTTCAAGTTTGTCCCAATTTGGCTAAGTTAGGTCAGTTTAGTCAAGTTTGGTTAAATTGAGCTGTTTGATCATTTTAATTGAGATTGGTATAGTTAAGTGGTGTAATTGGTATAGCTAAGTTTGTTTCAACTTGGCCAAGTTTGGTCAAGTTGGGCCAAGTTTAGTCCAGTTTGCTTCCTTAAATCAAGTTTAGTTTAGCTTGGATACTTTGTTCTAATATTGACTATATTAGACCAAAGTATCTAAGCTATACTTTATGTTTGG